TCTTCATATATCCAAAATGGCAATCTGCTTGAGCAATCCCTAATTTCAGCAAGCCCCTGGCTTTGCTCTAAAATCAGGGCATCCTTACTGCTTGTACCTTTTCCCTCATACAGTGAGCTGTGTATCAGGAGTTGTTCTATTGTTCTATTTAAAGATCAGCTCCAAAGATAAGATTATGAAAATCTCCAGGCTTTGCAGATCGTTCTCCATCTCACTGGATCCCCAAAAAGCCCACAAGAACTTGTACATCATGCATGGAGGGGAGAGGGAGCTTCCACTCTGTCTCTAGCTGGGCAGCACCAAACCAACAGCAACAGGTAGGTTGTGATGGACAAACACTTAGCTGGCCATCAGAGCTGGGCCCTAGAAGGACAGTGAGGCACTGCTTTTACAGTAGGTTTTCCACCCTCACTGCGAGGTTGGGGAACAGCACTGCTCTCCCTCCCACTGCCTCTCTGCTTGCCCACTGGAATCCAAAAGGCAGCTATTTCTGACCCTGCTGACAAATACTGTCCTCTTTCACTGCTTCCCTCCCTGGCGGGTGATGGGGTGCAGCACTGGGGCCATGAATGAATCATCACCACCCACAGCCAGGCAGCAACACGGGGCAGGGGCTGGTTGGGAAGACAGCTCTAAAATTGCAAGGGATGCAAGTGAGGGTAGGTTTCCCAGCAGAGCCCCAGCTCATCGCTCACACTGCGAGGCCACTTTTTGTGTGAAACAAACCCAATGAGCTCTGGTGACCACGCACAGCTATGGTCCTCCAACAAGCACCTTGATCCGATTGCCCTTGGATCCTTCCTTCCACCCAGGCTGCCCTGCTACTTTTTTGCTCCCTCTTCCAGCTTTTCTTCAAAAACAGACTCATCCCCATTCGTCAGTAGCCCAGTATGGAATTGGCACCTTGATTTTAGAAAAAAATCTGTGGAGTCCTTCTCCCAGTTTGGGATGCCATTCACACCTCTCCCTGTAGGCCAGTGCTGCCTTGCTCCTCCACAGGCAATGCATTCCCGAACACAATCAAACCGATTGTGCTGCTCTAAAACAAGTTTGGGCTTTAATCTGTCGAGGGAACAGCACAAGGATTTGCTATCTAATCCCATAAATCTACACTGACATCTTGTGGAGATCACGAGACCAGAACGGCTGTAGCCACCGAGAGCAGAGCGACTGACTGACACGGCAGCTGAGGCCAAGAGGAACCCGTGTCTGTCAGGCTGACATGTTGGGCACCCAGACCTCACCTTATGGGCAGCCGGGCTGCCCCGAGGGCCTCCAGTCTGTCTGCAGGGAAAACCAGTCCCCTCAACCTCAATCACCGTTCTCTGTCTAAATCAGTAAAAAGACTGTAGCCAAGAGATTCTTACAATCCCAGCTGAGACTATTTACTTTCAAATCATTACTGAAAGCAATGGTGTGGCTCCTCTTTCATAAAAGCCACGATGCTTCAGGCTTCTCATCAAAGCACAAGCTCCTGAGGAGGAGCTATTTTCATGCTGGAATTTTATTATCTCTGTAAGCACTGGAAGAAAATGGACCTGAGTAGCACTCCAGGACTCCTTTAATGCTCCTCTTCAGCTTAAAAATATATGGTTTAAGTACTCAGGGAAGTGTTTGTCTCTGTAGTCAAGGAGTACAAACTCCCATTAGGCACACACACACCACACCAATGCCACAGTATGACTGGTTGGTATAGTAAGAGTTGAAGCTCCACCAAAGTCAAAGTCTTGCAACCAAAGCATCATTCCTCCAGCTTCCTCTTAATACCACACTGGAGAGAAAGTGTTTCATAGATGGTAAAAATAAAAAATAAATAATAAAAATCCAATTTCTAGCAAATCATTCATATAAAATAGGTTTTAAAAGGCAGTGCCATCCAATGTCAAAGACAAGATTGGGCTGGCGCACAAAGTAGGTAGCATCAACACCCTACTGCCACCTTCTGCATTAACACAGTCATTTGGCCTGTCATGGGTCTTTCATCCCCTCCTTTCGGGCATGAAACCATCCCTGAGAAGTTTGTTTTTTCCCAGCCCAAATTCTGACACATCAGCTGAAGTTGGAGAGACCCAGCACCAGGCTCCCAAGTACCGTAAGCAGATGGATGTCACCGAGAGCACAGCTGCCCGTCAGACCCAGAAGTGCTCAGATGAAGGGATGCGTGATGAGAGGGAATACAAGTCTGTACAATGAAGTCAGCACCGCGCCGCTGCAACCCGGGCAGTCTGAGGTTCTGAACAAAGCAAGGCTTGTCAGGAGAAGGAATGTCTGATATTTCTGGAAAAACGAAGCAAACAAACCACCACAGAGTATCCATTTGGTACGCTACCCCAAAATCAAAGCAGCAAATTCAGCTAAGGACAACTTAAAAAAACAGCTAACCCTAAATTGCAAACATGTTGCTTTGCATTTAAGCTCATTATGATTATCAATAAGACCACTGAAGGGGGAAGGGCAAGATCAGCATTTGGAAAGCAGAGATAAAGAAATTACAAAGGCAGAAAGAGAGTGTTAAGAAATTGTACGTGTTCAACCTTTTCACTCCACCTTCAATCCGTGGTTTCTGGAGGGGCTCAGGGGTGTTTGTGTTTGTTTTTGTTTTGTTTGGGTTTTTTTATTTGTTTTTTCTTTGTGGTATCCACATCAAAATACAGAAGGGAACTACCGCACAACCCAAAATGCTTGCACCACTGACACCACACCTTGTTTTCTGGCCAAAGGCCAGTTCACCAGCCCCAGCATGGGTTTGGTTCAGGGCTGGGAACAGGCACAGAGGGGAACGAGCTGTCCTGTTCTGAGCACTCACTGATCTGCTCTGCTCAGCCAGGCACCACATCTCAGAGTACCTCAGCCTGCCTCTGTCTCAGTTCTTGTGACACCAAACCATAACAGCAGTCTCCATTTCCTCTGAGGTGGCCAGAACCCTTCTGAACCCCTACTAGCAAGTCCAACCACACTCTTTTACATCTGGATACAAGTTCCTGTAGCTCGGCCATCTCCACTCAATAAGTTGGTTTTGTTCCATTGCACAACCATTGCAGCTATAGCTATGTATGATATATCACAGGAGTATGGCATTAGCACTACATTAATAAGTCCTCAGCTTCAGGCATAAAGAAGGAAATCTAAGCCTGCAGTATATAACAGATGCTATTTCGCCTTGAACAGCTCCCAATGCTGAATATATAATGCTACACATAATACCACCTAGTCAGTGAACATAGGGAAAAACTGCCATCATAAGAAATCCCCAAATGACCGCAGTGAGGGAATCCATAGCTCCAGCACTGGCTGCATTCTGCTGCATCACCAGCAGCCAGCTTTTGCCCTTTGGGTCACAAAAGAATGTTTATGCTTGCTTCTAAATGACTAATCTGTTAGCAACACTTTAAATTCCTCCAAGACCACTCCCCTGGGATGAACAAGAAGTGTGCACCCCTCCCCAATACATGCCCTCACCCTAAAAAACAAGAACACCAAAAAAAAAACAAAAAAACAAAACAAAAAAAAAAACCCACAAACACCATTAAATCCCTGCTACTTAGGCTTTTATTGTACACTGAACAGCCCCATAAGTATATATATATGTAGCTATATCTGATTATTCAAATCCTGTTGCCTTGTATTAACTCCCAAATCTATATTTAAGCACCTAAGAAGGAATTACTACAGCTTTCCAAAGATGCTAAGCACCAAGAGCTCTTGTTAAGGGCTTGTCAAAGTAGTGACCTTCTAATGAATAAGATTACAATAACATGCACCTCTGGTTCTAATGCTGTGAAATTCACTGCTCAGATACACAACTGAGGCTCCTGAACCTCTTTTGTAGAGGGCACAACATGTGAGGGCACTCTATCTTTCATACCAAAACACAGGTTCAGTGCAAAGAACATACACTGATGGGCGAACTTGAAATACAGCAACATGCAGGCTTTCAGGAGGGCCTCTTCAAGCAATTCCCAGCATCATTAGCATTTGGGAAGAATGGCATTTATTAAGCAAGATGTATCCAGGCATTAAACTCAAAGTTAAAACCATTCTGGAATGGATAGACTTTGATATGGTTCTTGCTTTCTGCATTCCAAGGTCAGGAATTCTTTGAACAACTCTGCAGAAATCTGAAACTTGCTGCTCTTATAGCTATAAAGTTGAAGAGCAGTTTATCCCATCCACAAAATTCTTAAGTCATAGAAAAAGGCCACCTCTTATTTTTCATTTGTTTTGTGCAGTTCTGATTAAAAAAAGTTTGCATATGAAGCCAGTGCTTTATCTTCATTACAAAACTTCCCGCACTGACTATAAAGAAATAGGAATAACCCTCATAGGGTTATTAACTGCTGAAGTGGTTTGCTGCAAATTGCAGAAAGCAAGCAAGAATTCAATGCATGAGGCTGGAAATGCCCTAGAAATCTAAGCAATGAAATGTAATCCAGAATTCTCAACATCTGAGAAAATTCAACAAAAGACAACTGAGGACAAGTAAATATACTGCATTGCTTAATAGATACAAAGAACCACATGCATTTAATTAGAATAAGGCTCATCTAGTTACTTCAGCATCACAGGACTAGACAGAAAATAGTAGCACAATGCAGCCACAATCAGCAAGCAACAGCTCTCCTTGTGAACAGAACCAAGTCCTCTTTCTTGTCCAGTAGATACAGGAGATAAGGCCTCAGCTCCAGACTTTGCAGCAATCATAAGGAAGCTTGCTCTAATCAAACATAATTTTGTGGACTACTCAACAACCAGGCTATTCTTAAGCAGCAGCTACTGATGAGATGTTGGTCAAAGGCTTCAGAATTGCTGAATGAATAGTAGAAGAGACTTCTTGTATTATTTTATGTAACTCACCACTATTATGCTATGCATATATCTGAAGAATAACGATAGCATTTTACTGAGAAGGTGAACCAAGGATTCATTTCATATGACCTAGTCAGTTCCTACATTTTAAAATGAACCGAGAGATGATTAATGAAAGGAGATGGTATTCCAAATATCATCCAAATACCTGTGCATTTAATGAACTAGCAAAATGAAGTGTTTGTTACTATCTCAGTAACAGGTTTTAACAAATAAGGCTGCATTAGGAATTTTTAAAAATGAAAACACTACAAGTTTTCAAGAATGGGAAAGATGAACAAACCTGTCAAGATACATACCAAACGTGAAAGCAGCTGGAACTGGAATCAGATCTAATATTTCCAACGGTCAAGAGATTAGTTTCAAGTTTAAAAGACAATGATTTTGATAAATTAAATTTTAAATGCACATTCTACAAAATCTAAACTTTTCAGTTCCTTCTTTTGTTGAAAAGAGATCTACACATACATACACAGAAGTACGGCCTTTATTATTAAAAATGCAACTTTCAGATTACATGACTACTGCACATTTTCTTCACTTCAAGGTTAAGCACTTTCCCAAGTCTCAAATATCTTGAAGAAATTCCTTCTTTTCCTCAAAATAATTCCGAAACCACTCAATATGTTCAATCTTCTGCTTAACACTGAGGTATGGGTTTTTTGAAAGCCCACAGATGACCAGTTCCATGAAGTGGCGAACAGGTCCTTGCTTGGGAAAGTCTTTGAGGTGTTTCTCCAGAAAGATATGTTCATGAAATTCAGCATCATCATCCATCCCTACCAGAAGGGACACAGAATGACAGGTCATTATCATCATGTAACGGAGAATTTAACAAAATAAAAAAGGATAAAGCTTGTAAACAGACCTTTAATCAGAAAAAATAATGATTATTGCAAAAGAATTAAAAGGTCCATAAGTAAACAACAAAGAAGTGGAAGAAACTGCAGAACTCTAAGATATTAATTTCTCCCTCCGTACAGAAAACATCAGCATATATCCTACTCGTCTGCCATGTTACCTTCATTTTATGCTCTATAAGAATATCTGATAGTAAATCTGCTGAAGGCTCATGCCAAAAATCTCTTCCAAAAAAAATGCTCAATACATGAAACCTTTACTGACCATGTGCATTACATTTTAGATTCTCAACATTTTTAACACTTGAGGAAAACACTGACTGCCTTATTCTACAGAGGACTGAGGAACACAAGTTAGTCTTGAATGAAGCAAAATCTTGAAGCATCTAATACAGAATAGTTAAGAAATACTTGCATGTTCATCACAAGTCACAGTTTTAGCACCCCTCTGCTATCAAATGGGCATGGGAAATTGCTTTTCTAAAGTTTTTCAAATCTGTGGATGTATTCTGCTGCAAAAATGTCATCTGTCACAACAGCTGTTACTTGTAAGTAGTGACCAATGCAAAAGATGTTGCATTCAAAAGCATTCAGTTACACAGGAAAATGGCATAAGGGATTATTTGGATCTCTAATCAAGTACAGCTCAGATCCTATAGTAGTTTTTGTCCTCCATCCCATGGATTTCTTTTACAGTTGGTTTATATTTTGACACCACTGTACACAAGATAGACTCAGAACACGAATTCCTACCTAAAGGAGAAAAAGAAAAAAAAGCTGATTTGCAGCTCCTAAATCTAAGATAAATTGTTTGTCAACATGAAATCAGCAACATGTAAAAATGAGCCATCTCAGTCCTAGGCTTCGTCCCATGTTACAGCTTCTTCAATTTCATATGCATAATACTGGGACTGAGAACAGCCAGTGTATCATATTTGTTGAGTTTGTATTCTTTCCTTCCTATGTTAGGTAAAAGCCTGAAGGAGATGAGAGATGCATCTGTTTTTCCCTACGCATTTTTCCAAGAAATGTGTGCAGGGTCTATCAGTGCCAGCTACATGCCACTTATCTCCCTAGTCTCTGAAATAGAAAGCCTATTTTCTTCTTCCATAAGCTCTCCTTTTCTGATAAGTTAAGAAAGGAAGGAAAAAAAAAAAGACCTCGCTTTAGAATGAGAATGCTTGAAAAACTATATCCACATAGAGAAACACAGGGTTGGTATCTTACCAAGCCATCTACACTGACTTTCTCCCCACCACGAACAAGTAGAATCTCATTGTACCTAGATGCTGACAGTTGACTTCAGAAGTTAACATCGTTTCTAGATTTCATACTTTTGTTGGTCACAAAAATCCAAAAGAAATAAACCAATGAACCCACTACTGATAGCATCTGGATAGTGCTGCCAGTAAGTCTCGTCTTTTTGATGCTTCTCTTTTGGTGATAAAGGGTAGAGGAAGAAAGTATGTCTATTAATAATTTCTCCAATTTTCATTTCTATCCTAAAAGAAATTAAATCATTTATAGCCTTACATAAAAATTCAGGCCAGGAAGAACGATTAAGTCATCTATTTTGATCTCCCATTTGTAAAAGACAGGATGAATGGTTTCAGAATGAAGTGCTAAGTCCAAATATTTCAGTTAGATCACGTATTTCAGTTAGATCACATATTTCAGTCCTCAAAATAGTAAAGCATGCATCACAAGAAGAGACCAAAGCATCAGGAGCTGTGACTTCCGGCAGAAACCAATTAGATACGTTTGCACAATTCCTCCTCTCCCAGCAAGTCATACCTTCAGCTGCAGAGAACGATCAAGCCTGTCCCTCACTCTCTCTTTAACTGTCCTCAGAAACCTCTTTTGAAAGAACAGGCGCAGCAGGAGCCTGAAGCAGAGGATTTTCTTTATCAACCTCAAAGCAAGGTCATCTACTCTCAATATCTTATCTCCAACTTGCTATGTACTACAAAAGCCTGGAAGAATTTCTCTAGCTAACATACCAAATCTTAAAAGAGACGACCAATCTACCCTTAAAGACAACCTCTCAAATGTAGATGTCTATCTTTATAGTTTTGAAAGAGAGAATTTGAGCCCTTACAGTAGGTCCCTAAAAGAGACCAAAAATTAACAAAATCCCTCCCTTAAAATGGCTGCATAACATCTGTCTGCTCTCTTGGTAAACTTACCCACTAGGAACAGCACTGCAGCAGAACAACCAGAACAGGACTTTGTGTTCTTCTGCCTACAGAAGCCTTTGGAAGCAATAGGGACCTTAATTTGCTGAGTCTTCCACTAAGCCTATTGTTTATGCTGTAACAATCTCTGACATATTTGAAGCATTTGCTCCTCAGGATCTGAGTCATCAAGGTACAAATGCACAGAAATAATTTTAGAAAGTCAGAAATGGACATCTTCCTCAACTTTTTGCCATGGAAAATCATGGAGTAGAAGTAACACTACAAGAAGAAAAGACAAGCAGATGGAGGAGTGAGAATGTTGTTACCTGAGCTATACTAATGGCTTGCTAATCTGGTAAAAATTAGAGGCAGGAGAGAAGGAAAAAAAAGGTTTTCTTTTCTGCCTAGCAGTGACTGCAGCAGAGAAGGAAACAGCTTCAGCTGTTGAAGGAAACAACCTTTCAGCTGCAGCAGAGAAAGGAAACAACATCAAGAACATGCATGCAGGAACCAACAACAGGAAAAGGGGGAAGACTGCTACCAGCACTGCAGCAAGCCATTATGTCTGGCCACATCTTCAGATGTCCCCAGGACAGACAAGTTTAAAAGTCATGTCCCTGCCTTGATGCCTCAAAGCAAGCACAGCGCCTCAGTAAAGCACTCAAACAAGAACACTGAAGATGCTCTGAAGTAAAAAAAAAAAACAGTGACAAACTGTCTTCTTTATATTTCATAGTTTATTTAAAACTTTAAAGGCTTCCATATGCTAAAAGCTGAGCATACATCCTTCCTCTGTAGAAAATTAAATTACATAGATGTTTTTCCACGTGCTTGTACGTAAAAGATCTCTCATTTCTTGATACAAAACAAGGCAACGGATGACTGTTACCAAACTGCAAAATTAACAGTGGAAACAGGCATCTTTCTTTTGAATTTGGAGTATGCTGAAATAATTGGAGTGAGGTTCTGAAGTTTTTAACTGTACTTTGACACACCTGATCTGATTAACAGCCTGTGATAGAACTGGCAGTTTGAGAGAACTGCCTGATTTGATATTTTAACCTGAGAGGTGATAGATTTTGGAACACTCCACTGGAATTTTCCACACGACCAGTCATTGTAGACAAATCAATAAAGATTCTTGTTTAACTACATGTAAAGACTCTTTGTCCATCCGTCATCGCATCCCAGACAGCATGGTTCCAGCCATGCTGCGACAACAGAAAAACCATTGGCTGCCAAAGACACCTGGTCCATTAACAGCCCCAGACAGCAGGGTTCCAACCACATTACAACAACAAAAAAACCACTGGCTGTGGTGGCTTTAAGTTTGCAAAAACATGAGTAGAGTACACTTGGATTTCTACCTGAACAGATAAATTCTGGGACCAGGGATTAAATTCTGTGAAGAAACTGCCAAAATAGGATGAGAATAAATATCAAGAAACAATGAACCATATCATGCAATTTGCAATTCTGTAAAGGACAGCTTTTCAAAGACTCCCAGCTTCAGATACTAACTTGTTTTGCTTTCAGAATGATTTTAAAGTAATTCTGTTTGATGACTTCAAATAAAAAAAAATCCACATTCAAGCTCTCCCTGAAGTTGTGAATCTCTATTCCTAAAGTGCACGCTTGCTTCCTGTATTTCCTCTTCCCTTAATATTCTCTCCCTGTTGGCCTACCTTCAGACAGAATTTTATTGTTCTTTGCTGCTGTTGTTTTAATAAATGGAAATAGGAGCAAATAGAAACACAAAGATGTCAAGATAGATGCCCAGAATGAGTGAATACTGTTTTTGCTAGGAAACTGATAGAGCAAAGGAAGCAAATGACTGCTCAACATCCAGCCACTGCACACAGGGAACTGGCAAATAGCTAGCAACTGTGTCTATGAACCACACCAAAGAACAGCATAAGCATTATAAAACACTCAGCAATTCTAAGAGTTTCCTTCTTCTGCTAGAAGCTTTACTTAGAAGACATTTCCTAGTAAAAGGTATTATGTAACAAGACTTGAACAGTCTTGTGGTGTCGAAAGCATCAGGACTGGGAGGCAGGGAGGGAATGCATCCCTTTCTGGCAGAAGCCAACTGCCAGATCAGATCAGCCAAATCACTTGCAGGACTTCACCCGAAGAATGCCAGAATGAGTTAATCTGAAGAATCTCTCATTTGGTATAGTTGGAAAGTTACATTTGTTTACTATCATAATCCAAAATGCTATGTTTTAAAACAGTCCAAGTGTTATAGCACACCACGATTCTCAAAAATGATAAATACACATAAATAATCAAAGTTAACAGTGCACATACCTGCTTCATTGTCAATTGGAAACTCCCACAGTATTCCTTCTTTTGTCCACTGGATCATCTCTTCAAAACCATTCCGGGGAGGCTGCTCAGTTACTGCTGCAATTTCCTTCGCAAATTCCAGATCCCAAATTGTTGGTGAAGATACTAAATAAGAATTTTTTTTTTAATAAGATCTATCAGTATGGCAGATTTCTCCTTGGCTAAAACTATACACATATGTACCCTTTAACATTGACCTTTACAGAGACTAGTACTTTCAGTTGTGCAAGCTTTTCTATCTTAGATGTCACCACTCATTTCTTCAGTGAGAATTCTCTGTTAAAATGAAAATTCACTCTATGATCAAATGTCCACTGAAAACAAGTCTGAACTGCCAGAGTTCAGTTTATTTTTAAGTCTGTCACTCAGAGCATGATCTTTTCACAATTTTTTTTCCCCTTTTTGCCTTTCACAAATTGTACACATGACAAACTCTGAACTTGGCTGGTACATTATACTAAAGCAATCTTGCTTAATAAAGGAGTTGTCAGGCACTTTACAACTATACTCTCCTTCAAGGGGCAACTCTTATTTACAAACTATATCAATCCCTCTCCTGATCCTCTTAAGAGACCGAATTTTTTTGCCTCTTGAGCTTAAGAAATCCTCTATTCCTCTCCCAAAGTCCAGCAGTTCCTTTAGGGATGCATCTATCCTGATGTTTACGAATTTGAATTTATTTATGTTTTAAATCCAAGTGTACTCATACAGCAGGAGCTACTCTCAATGAGTTCCTGCCCCTCCACCCTAGAATCAGTTATCAGCCCAGACTGAACCACATCACTGAAATGACGAGAAAATGAAGGAAGCAAGCTGTTAACTTTCATGAATTGGTCTAAGTTCTGTTACCCTCTGTCCCTCTGTGGTTATCAATTCACCCTGAACTTCCTGGGACAGAAATTTTGGTGCCAATTCAAATGTTACACTTGAAGTAGATCATGGGCAACCAGCTACTATATTACTACTCATACTTTTGAAACTAAGGAACAATTTAATCTTTGGCTCAATGACTTACAATTTGAATTAAAAAGAGTCTCCCCCTCCTTTTTAGGAAATAAAAGTGCAAACTGGATTTTATTCTGTGATTTACGTGCTGAAAAGTGTTTTCACTGCATTAAATCAGAAGATACTTTTTCAAATTATATCTGCATATTTTCCTGCTAAGAACTATATTCCCCAGCTGCCTACCTTGATTTGAGGGCTAGAGGTAGTAAAAACAGGTAAAAGACAGCACGAGAAAACACTATAATTATTGTCCACATCTTATAGAATACCTTCTAATAATGTGCTAACACATCTTCTAATAGAATAGAAGTCATATTTTCAACCTTGCAATAAAGATTATGTATTTTCACCGCTGTGCAACTGTAAATAATACTGATATTCTATGTTCTGATTTTTTTTCCCTAATATGCTTTAAAGTTAACGGTTGTGTTTCAAAATAAATGCTCAATACTAAACACAGAACTTGCTTCTCTGTCACCTATAAATAATATTTTAACTCATGATCTCCACCAGCATGAGCCAAGAAAGTGAAAATGCAAGCCAACGGCACAAGGTATCAAGTAGCACCTTGGTATTTCCTGAGACTTAGACTTTTAATTTTTGATTTATGATCATTAAGCTTAGTCAGTAAACCATTTAACAAACCTTCTCTCTTAGAAGGTACTATAGATCTTCTCAAGGCAACCTGGAATCAAAGAAGAAAATGCAGAAGCTAAGCTGAAAGAACCTTATTTCTTTCTTTATATCTGATACAAACATGGTAACGTCCACTTGCTGTCTTACATCATTTTTGGCAAAACTTATGGATCTTAATTTCATATTTGGTGTGACTACCATTTGCCACCACATCTCTGCCGTGCCATCCAAGAAATACATAATTAAAATCTGATCATTTCACCTGAAGTAAACGTTGCAACTCAAACATCAGTTACTTGAACATCCCTTTGGTTTAGATACCTTAACCAAACAAAAAAAACCCCATCCTGCAGCATTCATTGTGGCTTCGTACGAAAAACTGATGGATTTTGAAGTCAACTGCCTTAAAAATAGCAAACTGAATTCCATTTTAAAAAGCAATTTTCATAACCCAACACAGAGATAGCTGCATTCAGAAAGCTCACAGTTGCTTGAATATATGCAAATAGCACTGTCTGACATTTTACCAGAGAGACTAAATAAACTCACTATTTTATCCCTGGAGTTTCAAGTGTTAAAAAAAAATTTAAAAGTAGAAAACTACTCATCTATAGTCTTGAAACAAAAAGAAATGAGCACCAGTTTCTAAGACGCTGGAGAGGAATGACCTTTCGTTTACGGGTGCTATCTTTATGTACAGTTTTAAGACATTACACTGCAATAATCCACTTTTCCAAAGCACCTCGGGAGAGTTTAGTGATATCAGTACACTAAGGATTAGTGCTAGGAATGGAGTTTCACTGTTCAGAAAGCAAAAGCAAGTGAGACTACTTTAAATGACTTGCCCATATTTACACACCCTCATTCTGTAGTACAGCTAAGTCATAATTCAATGCCAGTCTTCTTGTGTGAAATTCATCCTGTTTACATTGTAACTGGGGCTCTTCTTGCAGAACTGTGCCCTTCAGTGAATACAAAGGTGGATCATATCTGATCATATCCATTCCTCCACTTTTTGAGTTTATTTTGGTATGTGTTTTAAGTATACACATATGAAGAATGAGCTACAGCAGGTAAAGCAAAGCATCAGTCAGGTACTACAGGATCTTTCAACACAAAATAGCAGATGAAAGAAGCTCCCAAAGGAACCAAATATTCAGACGATAGTTTGTTTCCACTCTGCTCTGGCCTAGCTATCTGTAGAGCAAACTTTTTGCTCTGAGATCACAGCTTTGAGTTTCTGTGTCAATAAGTGAATGCAAGACGCTTTTGAAATAAACAAATTTACCAAAAGAATCCACAAACCCATTGTAAAAAAACCCAAAGTGGTTTTACTGTCAAAAGGAGCCCAATTTAGTGACAAGAAGTCAGTTTTACCCATCAAATCATACAACCATAGAATGGCTTGGATTAGAAGGGACCCCGAGGATCATCACGTTCCAACCCCCCTACCAAAGGCACGGCCACCAACCTCCAGGTCTGGTACTAGACCAATTTGCCTAAGCTCAGTAACAGACCATTCCAACTAGTACAGAAAATATTAACCCATGATACAGTGTGGAAGTTTTGTATGCTAAAAGTAGAGTAATATTACATTTTTTTTTTTTTTTTATAGATCCAAAAGCAAGAAGTGAACAGGTCACGAGTCTCCTTCACAACACTGAATCCCTTGATATTCTAAAAATTCACAACTTGGCTCCACTGAGTTTTTTTTAAATCACTGAATTTCCACTAACCTGTTTTCAGTACATTTTCCGTTTCTGGAGAAGCCTTAGTGAATATATTAAGCCTTTTTCCTGCTTTAAGACTTCTATAAACAAAAAAGAAAAATGATATTTAGTATTTCACAACACTTCACAATATTGCCAGATAAAAAAATTTAAAAGCACAAAATATTCTCATGAACTAACAGATCTCTGGAGAAAAAAATGAGATAGTGACTCTCACGAAATCCTCAGGCTTTTAACAGAGTGTTTATGACTGAATTATTACTCCGTAACAGAGCTTCCCAAAACACTTCAGCATAAAAGAACGAGCATAAGTCAAATATTATATTTGCAATCATTTTTTACTGAAATATTTAGGAACTGAATGCAGTTCAACAGTATCAAACTACAGTACGAAGTAACTTCACAAAGTTGTAACTAAAAAGAGAATTTGGTGATTGTTTTTTTTTTAATGTAAATATTATTACACAATTTGGGAAGAGAAAAGGCAACAGTTTAATCAAACAATTCCTGCTTTCTGACATAAACAGCCTTTTTGGAAGATCACACAGCCACCTCCTGTGCCATATGGCAAACATATAAAGCATATCTGTATGATACATTTTAAACAGCATCACCCTGGTGCTCTCCCTTCTGAGTATGAAAATATTTTATTCTATCTATTTTTAACCAGGCAAGAGCCTATACTAAAAAAAATATATAAGTTCCAAGAGCTTAACAACTAATCAAAATAAATTTTCATATAAACAGAAACTAAGGAAAACCAATGCCTTTACTGTAGATCACACTGAACCTTAGGACAAATGATTCTTTTAATCGTGCAGTTGTGCTTGGTTTTGTAGGTTCCCACTGAAATTCTAATACCTCCCACATAACGTTAATACATATCCACAGCTGCCCTGGCAACATCTGCCTTTCTTGACCTTAGAATTTCACCTCTTTGGTTTTACTGCAGATTTCTGATGGCAACAACTACTTCTGCAAACCTGCTCTTGTAATATTACATTTTACTGATGTAACTACCCTGGATTCACTTCAGCACGGAGCAATCTAATTACAAAGCTTTAAAAGAATGTTGATTTAGGATTATATTTTCCTATCTGTGTGTTAACTCCCCAAAACATTGGCTGAAGATAGAAGAATGACTTGGAAGAACAAGATGACTAGTTCAAATTACTACAGAGCAAATCAGCCATGTCACTGAAATCTCCTAACTCAGTAAGTCTATTCTTCCTAATCCGTTCTTTGCATACTATCAAACAATAAGTACACCTGGTAGACATTCCAGGATGCAGAAGGAAACCTACGACAGAAACTGGACACAGTTACAAATATGTTAAAAATTATTTCAAGGTATTGTTCCTAAAGTTTTAAAACACTTAAAATTTCATCACACAAAGAAAAGCGAGAAAGTCTTCTCATGTACCCTACCGAGAAGGATCTGGGGTTCCTGATGGATGAAAAAATGAACATGAGCCAGCAGTGTGCTCTTGCAACTCAGAAAGGAAATGGTATCCTGGGCTCCATCAGAATAGGGGTGGCCAGCAGGGACAGGGAGGTGATTGTCCCCCTCTACTCTGCTCTTGTGAGGCCTCATCTGGAGTACTGCGTCCAGATCCAGAGCCCCCAGTACAAGAAAGACAGGGAGCTGTTGGAGAGGGTCCAGAGGAGAGCCATGAAGATAATCAGAGGGCTGGAATACCCCCCCGGCAAAGACAGGCTGAGGAAGCTGGGCTTGTTCAGCCTGAAGAAAAGAAGGCTGCAGGGTGACCTCATTGCAGCCTTTCAGTACCTAAAGGGAGCCTACAAAAAGGAGGGGAATCAACTCTTTGAAAGGGTAGATAACTGCAGGACAAGCAGAAATGGTTTGAAGTTGACGGAGGGAAGATTTAGATTGGATATCAAGGGGAAGTTCTTTACAGAGAGGGTGATGAGGTACTGGAACAGGCTGCCCAGAGAGGTTGTGGATGCCCCATCCATGGAGGTGTTCAAGACCAGATTGGATGGGGCCCTGGACAGCCCAGTCTAGCACCAGATCTGGAGGTTGGTGGCTCTGCCTGTGGCATGGGAATTGGATGAGCCTTGAGGTCTCTCCCAGGCTGAGCCGTTGTGTGATTCTGTGATACCATAAATTTAGTAAACATTCTTCAAATTTGCTGTACTTTGCAGTATATTAATAAATAAAAAGTTTACCAAACACAAAATAATACACACCGTGTAAGCACGTAATAGCTCAGGTTTTTGGTATATTCTTATAGCCCACATTATTTCCATTCTCAAACTTTGAAAAACGTCTAATCCAACACCTTGAGACAAATATTCCATCCAATCACCTAAGAATAATAGCTTAATAACAAAATCACTATCATCTGACTACCAACTCATCCGATAATTACCCTTACATTAAAGATATCTTTTAAGCTATTATTCAGCAACTGATAACGAAGGCTGTTTCCTTACTCCGTAGGCTGACAGCTCATAGCTGAATGAAAATCCCAACAGAAAAATAGCAGAGCTGTGAAAGGCTTGGTCTAGAACCTCATTCTACTTCTCTTCAGCTCCCAACACAAGAAGTACCTCTTGCACTGTTACATGCTTTTTATCAGGAAAGGCAAACACTGCTTGCTGCTCTTAAAACAAGTCCCAAGAGATAATTCCTAACCTTAATGGCTTGGCACCTCAAGAAAAAAGAAGTTACATAGGAACATTTCAACAAGCAGGCCAAGTTATTCTAATGACTGGCTACAGAATCTTCACCGAGGTTTTTGCATTATCTACACGGCTCAGGCTTACGTTCCACTTTGTTTCTTGTGGAAGTCAGAACTCTGTTTACAAAATACTCAAATAGATGTCTCAGCCAAAGAGGGCTGAACAATGTACTCCTACTCAACTACAACTTTATGCTCACGTTGTTCTTAGTTCTCCACATTTTTTCTTCAGCAGTATCCACCTTTGCTCTCTTCCAATATCTGAAAGGTGCTCACAGCGAGAGCAGGGTTGGTCTCTTCTCACTGGTGACAGCTGACAGGACAAGGGGAAATGGCACCACAGTGAGTTTAGGTTGGATATCAGGAAACACTTCTTTACAAAATGGGTTGTTAAGCACTGGAATAGACTCCTCAGAAAGGTGATTGAGTCACCATCCCTGGACATGTTTAAAAAACATTTGGATGCAATGCTCAGGGACATGATTTAGTGGAGGGCTGTTAAGAGTTAGGGTAGCATGGTCAGGTTGTGGTTGGACTCAATGATCTTTAAGGTCTTTTCCAACCTGAGTGATTCCATGATTCTATGATTCTAAACATAAATGAATTCCTCAGCTTCTCGATCTCCATGAAAGAGGGGTTAATTTGCAAGGCCATGATTAAAGAAGTTAATCTTACTAAAAACAGAACTGCCATAGAAAGAATATGCTGAGAAGAAATGCAATCATGAGTTACGATGGGAAAATAAAAAGAATGCAGGCACAAACTGCCAGGAACTGTATGAACTGCACAAACTGGCCAGATAAAAGAGCAGCAGGAGTTTGCAGAGTAACCTGAAATCATCGTGTAAATTGAAAAGTTCACTCTACAGACAACTACCATGTCATGGGCAATAAAGAAATAATCCATAGAATGACTTGCCTGTTGCAACATGGTAGTAAATACTGAAAACAAACAAAACAACAGCAACAAAAAAAACCCACAGCTCTAAAAAATATCTTTAAAACACAAACAGCTCTTTCCCCTGATATCCAATCTGAACCTTCCCTCCTTGAGCTTAAAACCACTCCCCCTTGTCCTATCACTGTCTACCCGAGTAAAAAGTTGATTCCCCTATGTTACCCATTAGTAATTTTTCACATGTTCCTCCTCCGAGAGATGGAAAGTAACACTACAAAAGTACCTTCCGGAGTCAAAGGAGCGAGATGAGGGTCTTCCAGGCTTGATTCTTTGACCATCTTCATCCATCTCCAAAGAGATGTGATTGGATATCCTCACACCTCTCTGAGCTGGGAATTGCCTCTTAACTGCCATTTCCGAAATAACATTGCTGAAATTAAAAATGTAAACATAAAAACCTCAACAAACCAACAGGGAAAAGAAGTTTATCACATTTATTAAGCAGAAAGTCTACTCTTCATTGGTTTAAAAGCCTCTATAAGACAGAATTAATACATTCCTCACAAAATGCATATATTTTTAAGCCATCCTAATATCAAGCATTACTTTTTAAACCATCTACATATAGAATGTAAGAACTGAAAGCTGTATTTTAGCCTACAATTAATACTTTCTTTGAAATTATCTCATTTCCAATTACAAGAAAACTACCATTTCATAATCTGCATATCCATATTCACAGAGTGTACTAGGTACATTTTTGCTCAAGTACATGAGAATGTTCTCAAGATACAAGGAATCTGCTGAAGCAGGGAGGTAAAAAAAAAAAAAAAAAAACTGGAGAGGAATCAACTCTGCCCAGGGACAGAGCTGTGCTGTTACACACTGAAAGGAAGCTTGCTTTCACACATCAGCTGACATGGGTCAATCATGCCACCCTAATAAGTAGGTCACCTTTCCTGATCCACTGCAATCTGCTGCATTGCATAATCACGTTACAGCACTTACAAACCTCATCTTCCTTTGTAATTCTGCAGCCAAAATCATATATGAAGAACAAACACTCTTATCTTTGACAGTGCAATTTGCAGTTTATTCTGAACGTAAAGGCTAAAACATACAACATACCTGCCCCTGCCCAATAAGTCCCTTGACTGCTATGGCTGTTGGTTGGGAAAGGCCAAGGAAATTATTCCTTGCAGCCATCCCTTTCTCCCAGCTGCTTCCAATAATGTGCAGACAGCCAAAGTTGCACTGCTCAAGTTTTAACACATAAAGGCAGTCTAAAAAAATTAGAAATTAAAAAAATTAAAAAAAAAAATCCTAAGTAAAAAAATACTGTCCATCCACTGCACTTTACTGGTTTTGTTACCTTAAGTTAAAAGAGATTTTATTAACAAGAAATACTTCTGGGAAATTATAAAAACTAACAGCCACAGCAACGCTGTGGGATTTTATCTTCAGTCTTAGGTGTGGTTTTAAATATTAGAACAGGAGTAGCATAGCTCTTCAAGTACCTACTCTAAGGCATCTGGCAAAAAAGGGCTGAAATCTTTTTTTTCTTTAAGGTTAAAGTGAACTATCTCAGGCTACCTGTACATCTCACACTACAAATTGTTCTATGAAGTGCCTCGTGGTATCAGTCGGCTAGAGACCCAACACACTTCTGAGAATCAAGCAAATATAGTTCCTAAGATCACACACGGCTGAGGCCAACTGCTCAGTTTGGCTGTGGTATTCCCCATACTACAGGGGGATGAGGCATCCTCCAAGAAGCTCTCCTCGTGACAGAGGTTGATTTAGTAGCATTTTTGCACAGTGGGTCATACTTCCTTCTGCACAGACTATGCCACCAAACTATTTAGCACACGCAGTCAACGATCTCGTGTTTCTGATCAGAAAGTCCTAATGTCACCCCTTCGCTGGTACATGAACATTACTGGCTGCAATACTCATCACTCCCTAACTAATGATGTCCCTTTATTCCCTAAAAATAAAACTACAAAGATGTTTTTAATCACTGCCTATAATGAAAAAAATCAGATAACAAATTCATACTCCAACCCGAGTATGTACAGTGGTTAGATATTACACGATAAAACCTCACGTCCCAGCATGAGCTTAAGAATCTAAATTCCTGGATACCTCTGCCTTCCAGAGATGAGAAGAAATTGACCTTTTATAATCAACACAGATGCTCTCTCTTTCCTGACTACCATTAATTATAACACCAAAAACAAAGACCCAGGAAGCTTAACATCTATTTTAGCCCTAAGTTCCAATTATTTATTTTCTTTAACCAGAACAGGAGCTGAAATTTCAACTTGTATTGCCACTGGTTTTATTTTGGTACAGTGCTGTTGTAATTTCCATTGAGTGAAACTTCATTCCACACCAAGAAAAATAAATTCCTGTATCATTAATATTTTCCCCTTCTTGTGAACACGCTGTCCTCACACGTTTACAAAACAAGGCAACAAGACAGCTGTGTAACACTGACCTCTGGAGGTTAGGACATAGAACAGAAAAAAAAAAAAAAAAAAACCAACAACCACACACACAAATCAAAAGATCCAGAAAATAAACATCTCATACACTCAAATCTCAACAGTCTTCCAATTCTTCACAACTGGGCATTATGTGGTTCCTTCCAGTACCTAAAGGGATGCTACAAACAGGAGGGGAGTCAACTTTTAACAACGGTAGATAACAGCAAGACAAGGGGAAATGGTTTTAAGCTGAGAGAGGGAAGATTTAGATTGGATATCAGAGGGAAGTTTTTTTGTTGTTGTTTTGTTTTTTTTTGTTGTTGTTTTTTTTTTACAGAGAGTGGTGAGGTGCTGGAACAGGCTGCCCAGAGAGGCTGTGGATGCCCCATCCCTAGAGGTGTTCAAGGCCAGATTGGATGGGGCCCTGGGCAGCCTGGTCTAATATTAAATGGGGAGGTTGGTGGTCCTGCCTGTGTCAGGGGGGTTGGAACTTGATGATCCTTGAGGTCCCTTCCAACCCAAGCTATTCAATGGCTCTATGATTCTATGATAACACTTGTGAAGGTATCTCATCTTAAAAATTGTTTTAAATAGAAGAGGAATCTTTTTTTTTTTTTTTTTTTTTTAATTTGTCAGTATACTGAATGCAAAACCGTATACTTAAAAAAAAAGTTCAACAGCCCACATTTTCTTTTGATTCAGACACAATTATTTTACATTGATTTTTATTTGGGAAAAACAAACATTTTCTGATATATTAAAAGGACTTCAGTGCTGTATGTGGATTGAGGCACTTTCAGAGAATGAACTCTTTCCCAAGTTGAGTGAATGAAATCAACTGGACCTTTCAAATCAACGTTTTTAAAACTGCCCAGATAGCTAAAAGTAACAAATGAATCTCAGATTCTAACCACAAAAGGTTACTGTTGGCCCAGTTTTTGGTCATGATAATCAGCAAGTTACAGATCTTTCTACACAACTCATCTACTGCTGGTTTTGGATTGTTACCTAACTATAAACAGAACCTTTCACATTTCCATGTGGAAAAAAAGTAGTTAAACAAGCTGCCATCACAAGTAGAAGAAACTGCCAACCCAAAGCATAGCAAGCTCATCATGACCTTCCTAACCAACTAAAAATGCTGTATACACATTTTTCTAACCTGAACAATTTATCCACAGGCACACTAAAGGATAAATGTACGATCATAACTTAATATATCTATCAACTACATAGAACCACACAATGCAGGAACTTTGGCTGTTAAATGTTTGTAGAATTTAAACTCTCTTTCAACGGGAAAAAAAAAAAAGAAAAAAGAAAAGCCTCTCTGCTTAGGCTACAGCTTCCTTAGACACCTTTTTTCCACAGCAGTCACAGCTGGTATGTGCTTCAGGACAAGCACAGCGAGTGGTGAGGACAGAGAGCCATTGTTGCCAGTAGGCAAAACAACCAAATTTAGAGTGCATGCTCAATAAATAGGTGCAGGTGCACTTGAGGTTAACCACTGCATTTATTAGCTTCGTCAGTAATAGCATGACCCTCCAACTTCTTATCAAGAATTAATATTCTAATTACATTTAAATTGGTAACTCACAGCCTAAACCACTATTAAGACATTTCTCTATCCTGCTCATCTGAAATCCCTTGTATTGGAAACGAAATAACCTCACTGGTTATTAACACTTTAACAAATACATTCTTTACACAAAACATTCCTCATTTATTCTTCATAATTAGGAAGCATCTCAGGTTTTTTGTAACACTGCCCAGAAAACAAACCACAAAGAGCAGAAACACACTGATTTTACTTAAAATACTCAGATTTCTGATCTCTAAAGCAATTCATTTTGGTTCCAAAAGCCTGTGGAGAGATAACTTCTGTTAAGTTCTCAAGATTGCTTTCACTCAGCCTGAGGAGAGGTCATTAAAACACCACACACACAACTTTTGGAGATGCTTGGGTACATTACCCAAAACCATACCTCCACCTATAACATGGACTTCAAACACTTGAAGAGAATTCCATTCTGCTCTCTACAACACCCACTAGCAATCTAGGTAGAAAATCCTGAATTCAGGCTAAAAGGAAATCTTGTCAAGCCTCTCCCCTTTTCTTCCAAAACCTCCAGAATATGCATTCTGTTTACCAAAGTTGTTCACTGAGTACAGTGCTTTCCAAATACACAACCATTTGCAAACATTTGTTGCATTCTCCCTTAGTTCTCCCTCACTAGAAAGGCAGACATCTGAGGCAAACATTATTAGTTTCTTGGGTGTTCTGCTTGCAGTTCAGGGAGAAACATACAAAGTACAAACAAATCTTTTACAGATCCCTATAGCAACCTACAAATAATAGTACACGGGCCAAACTTGAATCCTGGCTTGGGACAAATTCATTTCCCCAGAATAAATTAAAACTAAGACGACCAGCTCATATCCCACCCTGCAAAAAGCCATAAAGATTTCATATTCCTCTCTTGCTGAAGATCCAGCTTTCTGGTTAGTTCAACATTTCACCTGGACTTAATGCCTTATTTTCTGAGCAGTTGTATGAATACAAGCCGAACAAATAAAAAAGACAAGAGAAAGCCTGTATTTAGCTGTCATCCCAAAGAAGAGTAATACACACACAACCATTCAAGTTTCCAAACAAATGTTTCTCATCTGTTTGAAAGCCACACTGGAAACAGACGAGAGCCAAGTGATGAGTTTCTTGGGTCGACTGGAAAGTTTGGAAAGGAAGGGTGGGGCTATAAATAGAGCTGCACTAGCTCAGTCCTGTTCTTCAAACCTGTCATGAAAATTCACTGGTCCAGATAGAATGTCTGAAACGTCCACAAGTCCCTCCATTGTGTGAAAATTTCGGAAGCTGAAAAAAAAAACCCACTTACTTTGCTAACCTATCCAAGAAAATAATGATCCTAGGCAGGAAAACAATTCCATTTCTGCAAAAACATTTTAGAACGATGATGCCAAAACTTAAGAGGTTTGGTATAACCAGACCAATGATATCTCCATTACTCATTAATTCCATGGATAATAGGTCCAAATTTATCTTCTAGGGCCATCTATCCAAAAGAGAATCCAGTCAGCTTCACGATGACACTGCAAAATTAGAATTTCAAGTATTATTGAAAATAACATTCACTATACGGACCGTATGTTAACAGTTCCTCCCTTTCTCTGTTTATCTGTGGTTTCTTCATGTCTTCTAAGTTGTGCAAGTAATTCTGATTCTGCCTGTTCCTTGCTGCGTGGGAAAGAAGACGCAACGGCAGATGCAGCCTGCACCAGTTCTGGATGTAAAGGCTTGCTTCTGTAAGAGATACAACAAATAGGGAAATATATATTTAAAAAATATATATATATATATTAAAACTGTCATTTCTGAATTGTCATTTTATATCTTTCCATCTCAGCGGTCACAGCTGCAAATAATCCCTACGGTAGGTAGGTAAACAGGGGGAAGGTCAGATTTGTCTTACACTTCACTAATCTACTGCCAAATGAGACTGACAGGCTGCTCTTCTCAGCCTGGGGAAAACGGCAGCTATACCAACTGCATAGCCTGTCAAAAGTGAAGTGCTGATGACCACAAGCAGCGCTAACCTGCAGCGCTATAAATGCAACATAACACATTGTAGAGGGGTTCCACGCACAAAATCATGATGCTCTCCTTATTTTGTTTTTCCTTTTTCCTCATCACATTTTATCTAAACAATATTTTCTTCCTCCCATTAAAGAGACTTTCCACAGACAAATTCTAGTGCTTTCAAGAGTCTCAGTGCACAAGAAGGCAGGATACTGTAAGAAGCACACATCTTTTGACCAGATTCTCCCATGTGATTTACTGAGACCCACATTTGTATACCACATTCTCTTACAGGATTCTTTTCCATATTTGGTAACAGCATTTGACACTTTTTGTCCTAGATAATGATTAAAAAAAAAAATGGTGGGGGAAAAAAAACTGTTCAAAGTGCACGTTATATTTTACCGCTGAACGTCTTCTGCAGTATTTCGAAATGTACTACTTTCACTGTTCAGGCCTTCCTGCTCGTTAATGGCTTGCTTTTTCATCTCCTGTTCTTTTAATTCTTGAAATTTCCTCTTGGTGGTCACTTCTACTTTCATATCACCAATGATTTTTAGCAATTTCTGCTTTGGTGTTTCTGCTTCACCCTCCTTTGATGCCACTTTAGTGGTGCTGTCTGTGGAAGCTGTAGATTCATCTTTTGTAGTAGAGAGCACACAACTAGTGCTGAAGAGTCTGCTAAATAATACAGAAAATTAAAAAAAAAAATGTTATTAATAGACTCCAAGGCTGAATTTTGTAAGCCTACCAAAACAAAAAAAACAAAAAAAACAAAAAAAACCATTACTTACAACTGTCTAGGTGTAATCATGTGCAAACTGTCTATGTTAAGTACATATGAAACATTTTTTTGTTGAGAAGGACCAAGGCACCATTTTTCAATTCAGCAATTTATAGTTCCTTCAGCACAAAAAGCATGTAAATGATTTTATTCCCTTCACAAGTAAATAGTGCTTAATCTCTGAAGGAAACAAAATGTTGAGTATCTCTACATTTGACTGCAGACAGAGTTTGCAGTTTCTACCTTCTACTGCTGGTGTTGGCTTTATTCTGTGCTATAGATTACGACCTTATAAACATGAATTTGAATGAGTCACTTGCAGTTTTGTAAGCTTACATTAAAATACTAATAATAAAATCACAGGACTGTTAAAAAAAAGCCAGAACAAAACAAACAAACAAAAAAAAGCATACCAATTACAAAAAGCAACTCATACCTAATACTTGAATTCATTAGTACTAAGGAGTTGACTGAAATCCCTAATTCCCCCCCTCAGAAAGAGATTTGACAACATCAGACTGTATATACACTGTATTTTCATTTTGTTTTGTGTCTGCAGGACTGCTAAGATTCACATTAAACCTAGGATCTGCAACACAGCAGTCAAGCATTTATGCAGCTGTATTAGGAAACGCATCACAGAATCATTTGAGCTGGAAGTGACCTTTAAAGGCCATCTGGTCCAACTGCCCTGCAATGAACAGGGATGCCTACAGCTCCATCAGGTGCTCAGAGCCCCATCCAGCCTGATTCTGAACATCTCCAAGGAAGGGGCATCCACCACTTCTCTAGGCAACCTGTGCCACTGCCTCACCATCTTTATCATAAAAAAAACCTCTTCCTTACATCTGATCTATATCTCCCCTTTTAGTTTGAAACCATTCCCCTTATCCTGTCACAGCACACCCTGCTGAAGAGTCTGCTCCCTTCCTTCTTACAGCCCCCTTTAGATACTGAAAGGCCGCTCTCACGTCACCTCACAGCCTTCTCTTCTCCGTGCTCAACAGCCCCAGCTCAGCCTGTCCTTGTAGGAGAGGTGTTCCATCCCTGGGATCACTTTTGTGGCCCTCCCCTGGACACACTCCAGCAGGTCCACGTCTCTCCTGTACTGAGGTCTCCACCCCATTACTACTTCAGTCACTCTGCACTTCATAAATTACCCACAATAAACCATCAACGTTAAACCTTAAACACGACTGCTGATAGGAACAGGAAGCTTCAGAGCCGCATTACAGGATAGCAGATGCCCTGCTGTTTTACACAGCGCTGCTCCCACAGATCTTCCTCCAAACACGTTTTCCATTAATTCAGGCTGCATGCTCTTCAAAACTATTTCTCCATTCGGAGATCTCTGCCTAAAGCACTGGAACAAGCTCAGGCTGCGAGCCCTCAATACACGGAGCCGGCGGCACTCCGCTTCCCTCCGTCCGTCCTGCCCGCCCGAGCGCCGCGAGCCCCGCGCAGCGGGTAGCAGCCCGCAGCCGGGCACAGGCCCACGGCCGCAAGCCGGTGCATTCACCGCAAGGCCCAGCTCAAGGCAGAAGCGCGAGCACGCCGTCCGCCCGCGCTACGCTGAGGCGACTCCCGCTCCCCGGTACCTGTGAGGCCGCCCGCAGTGCCGCGCTGCCCCGGCGAGGAGGAGGAGGCGGCCGGAGCCGCGGAAGCGACCCCACATGGCGCCCTCGGCGCGGCGCTCGCAGCCCCGGCGTCCGTTCAGCGCCGCCGGCCGGGAACGGGAGCTGCGCCGAGCGTTCCGCGCCACGGCGTTCCGCCCGGCCCCGCTGCTGTGCGCGGGCGGGGTAACGGCGAAGTTGTGGGCTTGGGGCCCAGCAGCGGTTCGAATGGTGTAAACCTTGACCTCATTGCAGCATTTCAGTACCTAAAGGGAGCCTTCAAACAGGAGGAGAATCATCTCTTTGAAAGGGTAGATAACTGCAGGATGAGGGGAAATGGTTTGAAGTTGATGGAGGGGAGATTCAGGTAGGACGTCAGGGGGAAATTCTTTACCGAGAGAGTGGTGAGGTACTGGAACAGGCTGCACAGAGAGGTTGTGGATGCCCCGTCCCTGGAGGTGTTCAAGGCCAGGTTGGATGGGGCCCTGGGCAGCCTGGTCTGGTATTAAATGGGGAGGTTTGTGGCCCTGCCTGTGTCAGGGGAGTTGGAACTTGATGATCCTTGAGGTCCCTTCCAACCCTGGCCATTCTGTGATTCACATTACCCAGTTTTTCCCGTAGGGTTGGACTCCTGGTGGGCTGCAGGCACGTAAAGCTTAGGATTTACCTCGGGATGAGCCTGCCTGCCCTCACAGCACCTACCTCCAACAGGTTTCGTGGAGAAAAAGAGGCTCCTCTGTGTCAAGTTTGTGTCTCTATCAGGTAGCTCACATTACTTCCACCCCTGGACAGTCATTAAGTTGGCTCTGGGTCCACCAACCATGCCACAGCGGGAGGGTGGCCCACCAATGCTGCTTACCTGTTAAGTACATATTTCTTGATTTTTTTTGCCAGCAGTTGATTTAAATTCCAAAAAGTAGGTTGTGGGTGCCCCATCCCTGGAGGTGCTCAAGGCCAGCTTGGATGAGGCCCTGGACAGCCTGAGCTGCTGGATGGCACTGCTCATGGCAGGGGGGTGGAGCTCAATGATCTTTAAGGTCCCTTCCAACCTAAGCCATTCCATGACTCTTTATTAATGGTTTTGGGGTGCCCAGCTCAGGGATGGACGTATGCAATAGATCTGACTTGAGGCCTTCTGCTGTTGCTGAGGAAAGATCCACCTCTGAGCACAAACACTAACAAGACTCCTGATCTGACTGAAAAGGATCAGAGGTGCTTCAGATGTACCAGAAACTGAAGGAAAATATTGGGTCTGGCCTGCATCACACTGAAAACAGACTGAAAACAAAAACCCAATGAACTGGGAGCTGCTTTTGTTGGCCAGTTTCATCAAACTCTGTCTGACTGTTGGCAGTACTCACTTGTACGTGTGCTTTTTGTCCTCTGAGTTTTGTTGTGGTTTTTTTTCCTATTTCATGGAATAGCAAATTCCAGGTGACTTTTTCACCTTGGCATACAGAAGCCCTGTATTTCCACCACATCTCCCTTAATTGATCTATTGTGGCTTGATTCTGTCTTTCTTGCTGCATGTTTTAGGCAAGAACCATTCCATGTGCAAGTTGTCTGGGGAAAAAAATTGTCTAAAACTCTTTCCTTCCTTCCTTCAAAATTTAGAGATGTAGAAGAGATGTAGAATAACTGGAAAAACTATGGATGGCTACTAAAGGCAAATGATGAGTACTACTAGAGGCATGAGAAATGTTGGGTATTTTATGGTTAATATTGATATTAAGCAAACTAAGAAACCTGATTTATTGTGTGGTCAATGTATAGAAAATAGAATATGGAAAGACAGTTCTCTCACTGAAAAGAAATGTTCCTCTGAAGACCTATTTGCACATTATTATTGGGACAGGCTGTCCAGGGGGGTGGTGGAGTCACCATCTCTGGAGGTGTTCAAGAAATGTGCAGATGTGGTACTGAGGGGCATGGTTTAGTGGGCATGGTGGGATGGATTGATGGTTGGACTAGATGATCTTCCAAGCTTGATGATTCCATGATTCTATGATTCTGTGATTGGAATCAGCAGTAATTTCACCCAAAAGTAAGTTACATGACAGTAGTGTATGTGTCAGCAAATCTGATCCAAACTATTTTGGTGGTTTTCAGCTGCCCGTTTACACAGCTCTGCATTATGTCCTGTTTACCCACCATTTACCCACATGTTCACTATTGCTTTAGAGTCACTGCAAGCAGATCCAGAATGATAAAATGCTGACTGCAACCAGGTCCTCTGCTCAGAGTGTTCTTCTATAGCAACAATATGTATGTTTTCCCCCTTACTTGTATTATCCCCCAGCCCAATGCTTCCAGACAGACTTGTAGTGAGTCAGTCTCCATGCTTATTAGAAATATGCCACAGTCCAGGCAGCTCTGCAGTTCCCAGGGTGACAGGACTGCCTATGCTAATAATTAATTTGGTGCAGCAGAAATGGACTCAGACTGAAATGTCTAATGCTGAGGATCCTCAGAGAAGTCTATTTTGCTTTAGGTTCGGTCTAGTCTAGCAGACCAAACATCCCTCCTAAATACATGGTACAAAGTTGTTCCCAGACTTTCACTTCATCAATTGCAACCTACAACAATCCAACTCTGTTCTTTTACTTGCAGCATTCCTTCAGTAGTCAGATTGCCATCACTTGTATAAGGCCTGAAATGCAGAAACAATCTTACTTTTGCTCCTTGTGCAACCCCCACGTGGCACTGTATGGCTTGATTCACTTCTACATATAATTGGGTGAGTTTTGGTGATCTCATTTATGTAGCTTCTGCTGCTATTCCAGGAGGACACTTTAGAAAAGCTGATGTTCATCTACTTGGATGAACTAAGGAAACGCAAACTGGTTTCTAGGGAATAAATGATTTGCCTGTGATTGACTGGAGATGGGCCCACGAGCTAGGACACTGGGATCCTGCAGAATGGAAATGAGTGCATTTTGCAAGGAAACCCTCGCAGAAGTTACCGTTGGGCTTTATAAAAAGGAGTGCAAGTAACAGAGAGAACCACATGGTGGCATTGTGCTCCTTGCAGCTCTGCATTTCACAGCTCTGAACTTTCCCACACAATATCTCCAGTACTTTGTATCTTTCATGCTGTGTGCCAAACATATCCCACCAGGATTAGGGGTCTGAACAAGCATAGAATCACAGGATGGCTTAGGTTGGAAGGCACCTTAAAACACACTCAGTCCCAGCCCATGCCATGGGCAGTGCCACGCAGCAGCTCAGGCTGTCCAGGGCCCCATCCAATCTGGCCTTGAGTGCCTCCAGGAATGGGGCACCCATAGCTTCTCTGTGTAGCTGTGCCAGGGCCTCACCACCTCTGAGTAAAAAATTTATTCCGAACATCTAAACTAAATGTCCCTTCTTTTAGTGTAAAGCCATTCTCCCTTGTCCTATCATTACCAGTCCACACAAAAAGTCAGCCCCCTCCTGCTTGTAAGCTCTCTTTAAGTCTTGGAAGGCTACAGTGAGGTCTTTCCCAGAACAATCATCCTGAAATACCCAAGATCTGATGATGGAGCTGACAAACAGCAACTGCAGGCAACATGTATTTCTAATGGCAAATTAGTCACTGTCCCCACTGTGGTAGGCATTAGATATTTTTCACCAATTGGATATCCCAACAGCACTTCAGTTCTACTAAAAAAAAAAAAAAAAGTCAACACAGCTGAAAATTCCCTGCAATTAAACAGTAATCTGTTGCAGATCATTTGAGATGCACAATTAACCTGCTGTCACTAAATGGTTACCAAAGACCCGGCTATTATTTCTACTCTCAAGTAAAAAATTCACAATTTGGTAAGTCTGCTCTTCTTTAATAATTGCCACATTTTGAAGATTAGCTCTAAATCATTTTCTTTGCTTTGGTCTCTCAAAACAGGAGCAGTTTTATTGAGGCGAAAACACTGTGGATCTAAGCTGGAATACATAGGTCTGTGTGTCTCAAGGCATGGAAATACATGTGGGCTGTACTGTGCCCTATTGTTTTCAGCTTGGCACTGCTTCCGAAGAGCCTGACTGTAGGCATTTCAATTAATTCTCAACCGAAAGGAGGAAAAGAAGCTTTGCATGGTTTCAGTGGAAGGAAGTGATGTTAGCCCTCCCCATGGTTGCTTGAACCATTATATTCCACCTCATATTCCCAAAAATTTAGAAGCATTAAAGGGCCATCTTAGCTTAGGATAAGTCATTTGTTGACCTGCAGCAAACTGCTGATGGATGTCTGTCCATATTCAATATGCCACTGGCTTGCATGTGCAAGCATAGCTGGAGCTGTCAGACTTCAGAACAGGCACATCTTTCAGCTTGCATTTCCACAATCATTTGTGTATTAATTAACACGTGTGAAATGTATGGGGAATTTCGTATTTTAGCAAAGAGGTAACAACCTTTTTTTTTTTTTTTTTAACTGCTACACAAACAAAGGCCACAGGATAATTTCCCTTCTGGTCTGTTTCAACGATAAACGTGCCAAATACTGCAAACAAGCAGGAAACCAAAACACGTCCTGCTCAAGCACGTGCCTGTTGTAGTTCCCAGGGAAATAACTCTGTCTTATCTCTGGGTAATTAATTCATAGCTCAGTGCCATTTTTTTATTTTTTTTTAAGGGAGATGGAATAAAGCTGACAAAAGATGACCGTAGGATGACGCCCTGCGTGACCCAGATAGCAGGATGCTGCCTGGCGGTGCGCACACAGCAGGAGCACAGCTCCACCAGCCCGCCGCTCCCCTCCATCCTTCCCCACCACGTGGAGGCACGTGGCGTCCCGCAGCTCCCGGAACCGGGGGCCGGCACGAGGGATGATGCTCCGGGCCCCGCAACCTCCACACTGTGGGAGGCGTCCCCCGCCGTTCGTGCTCTCCCCGGGGACCCCAAGGCTCCATTCCCAGGCCCTACCGACGCGTGAAGCGGAGCCGCGAGCAAACGCGGCCGCACGACAGAGGGCGCGGGGAAGGCAGCCGGGGGCGCCGCGTCCCGCCCACCGCCCGCCCGGCCCGCGCCTTCCCGGGACCGCGGGGGGCCGCGCCGCCTTCCCCGGCCGCCTATATAGGGGGGCGGCGGCGGCGGCGGGGCGGTTGGGCGCTGCGGTGAGTGGCGGCGGCCGGGGGGCGGGCCGGCCTTGTCCGCTTCCCAGCGCTTGGGGCGGGAGGCGGAGGAGGCGCGGAGCGGAGCGGAGCGGAGCGGGCCCTGGGCGGCAGCCGGCTCCCCGCGGCCTGCAGCGCCGGGCGGACCCGGGGTTCGGCTCGGAGCGGCGGCGGGTGCGGGCTTCCTCCGTTCTTCCTTCCGTTCCTCCTTCCGTTCCTCCCCTCGTCCCGGGCGCGCCGGAGCTCTGCTGCTCCGCGCGGATTGATGTCGGAGGGAAGGGGCTGGTTGCCGCCTGGTTGCCGTTCACGTGCTCCCTTCCACGCGCTCCCTTCCACGCCGGTTGGCTGGCGATGAGCAGCCGCCGCAGCCTGCCGGGGCTGGGCACGGGGCGTCCCGCCGCACGCGGGGCCGCTCTGACCTTGGCAGGGAATCCCGATGTCACCTCCTGCCTTCGGAGCTCCTCCGGGCCGGCTGTGGGGAGGTGACGCGTGTGGGACGAGGGTGAAGGCCCTGCGGACCTGTTGAGCTCGCTGATGCTTCTGTGTTTGCAGGTCCGAGCTCTGGGTTTGCTGTAGAAGTGGCAGAGCAGTCGTTAACTCGGCATGTCCGCCAGCAGTTTGTAATAGGATCGTGTAATCACAAAGGCGACACAGGAGTGGGTACGTACACGCGTAATAACTGCAGTTTTGACTACTCTTAAGTCTTCTGAAAGTGGCAGTGTGCTCTTAGTAATCACGGGCTCGTAGAACTTTCATACTCTCACGTACGTCTTTGTTTTTCCTTTTACTGCCAAGCATTCGGTGGCATGTGCTGCTCCGGGGACTGGCACAAGCTGATAGCGCTCAGCGTGATGCCTTCTGCTGAAGGCAGGTGGTGGTTGCTCGCTGGTAATTCCCTTCATTCAGAGGCTGCCCCACTGATCTGCCTTTCTGCGCTTTCTCCAAGTGAGAAGCAATGCTGTGGAGTGCTGTGTGAACGCTAATGAGATGTGCAGGATAATGAGTGCAGCTTGGTCCTCGAGCATCTGCTTTGGAATGAACATCAAGCTTGTTGCGTGATCAGCAGCGAAACAGTGCACACAGAATGGACCAGGTTGGAAGGGACTTCAAGGATCATGAAACTCAAACCCCCCTGCTGAATGCAGGGCCGCCAACCTCCTCGTTTAATACTAAACCAGGCTGCCCAGGGTCCCATCCATCCTGGTCTTGAACACCTCCAGGGATGGGGCATCCACAACCTCTCTGGGCAGCCTGTGCCAGCACTAATCTGTAACCACAGAAATACTAAATATCGGTGTCATTTATTACAAAATCAGGATTTGTTTTGTTTTGTTTTAACCCTTTTTTTTTTTTTTTTTTTTGTTGATTCACACAATGCATCTCAACAGATGAAATATGTGAATTCACTGAGTGACACTATTTGGCCTACTGCTTTCTTAAGCTCTGTGAATAACAAACATGTTCAGAGACAGGTTTCCTTAAAGCCTTGTTTCTACTTGAATGCCCATGCTTGTAACAAAGAGGGTGTAAAAAGGATGTTTTGTACGGTGTCTTTTGTAAGTCTTCCAACGTGACTTACAGGAAGTTGTATTTTCACTTTATTTTACTCAGGAATATGGTTTGGGTAACAACAGACTTCAAAAGAAGCACCACAGTGGGTAGAAGAATAGAAAATACTGTTTACTCTGTGTGAAGACGAGCTTACCAGTCAATGAGACACTGGTTCATGTCTGTGCTAGTGTTTTTTGAAGACCCATGCAGCTTCTTTGACAGTAGCACCAGCCAAGTGCCTAGCTCAGCAACATGATTCTGAAACAGTGGGAGCTCTTTGGCTCACTGTTATTACTTCAAATTACTCCAAATGAGCAGGCTTGTCTTAACAGCTCACCCAGGGAAATTACCTTGCTGCGAGCTTGAAAACTGAATTCTTTTGAATGTTTTCTTTGAAACTTGCCTTTGTATTTCTGCTTTCCAGTTGCCTTCCTGAGAGATGAGCTGTAGTTCTTATTTTACTTTATAATATGTAGTTGTGTAAGGACTTGCACTGGGAACGTGTCAGCTGGACCAGCTGGACGCAATTCTAGATATTTGTATTCATTGTTTTCCACTTCTTCTGAGAGTCACATAGAAATACATGTGTGCCTGTATCTGTACGATCGTGCATGTAGTTTTTGAGCTGCTGTTCACTGTAAGTAGAACAGTTTTGCAATCTATTTTGTTTTATAGCCAGGGAGCCAAGACAAGTAGTTATTCCTGCTGGTTGGCATTGGGCACCTGATGGAGACGCTGCTTCTGTAATCAGCAGAAAGGTAGTAGTCAACAGTGTTCCCTGGAGGTACTCTTTCTCTTTGTGTGAGAGATCCAAGAGTTCTAGAAACTGGAAAGCAGAAATAAGCTGAAGCTAAGTGGTGATACTCCAGAGGGCTTGCCTAATATGGCAGAAGTCATCAAAATACAGGTTCGCTACGTTTCAGTTGAGCTCTGGGGATAAGCATTCTCTGTTCCCAACTACCTTGAAACAAGCTGAGTAGAAACTAAAGCATCCATGTGATGTTCTTGCCTGTCAATTATTGTTGTGAACTGTGTGTGCTTCGTCTCACTTTTCCCTCAGGAGGAAAATATCTTAACACCCTCCAGGAATCTGGAGACTTTTCACTCTGCAATAATCAATAAACAAGTGTGAAGCATGAGGATCAACTCTGCTCTTCAGGCTGCTATTGACCTCACAGCAGGAGCTGCAGGTAATGCTGAGGAACAGTTGATAAGTGCTTAAGAGCAATTTCCCACTGCTTGGAGAAGTGGGGGGGTTAGGAGGGGGAACACTCATCTTCTGTATTTTAAGGATACGGAAGTAAAACAGCTGACCTTGGCTGGCAGAAGAAGTTGCATTGTCCCTGATGTTACTGTGCTGGTGATGTGCTGGTGGACTCATTTGTGGTGGAAGGGACCTCTATAGGTTGTCTTGTCCAACTCCCTAACAGTGAACAGGGACATCCACAGCTGCATCCATGGCTGAGGGATGAACATTTTTTAACTTACCTGGGAAAGCAGTCTTTGAGATTCTAAGTTTCATCTCTGGGTGACGTAGAAAGAGCTATGTAGCAAAGCTTTTGTTTTTGGGGCAGGCTAAGCTACAGAGAGCTACTAGTTTCTCATAGAAGCTTATGTGATACCCAGGACTGATTAAATATTGGGATAGAATAGTTAATTTGGTAATGCTTACAGTGAAAAAACTGAAGGAAGAGTTTATCTAAAGTGCTGTTATAACTGTTTTAAACAAACTCATCTTTTTTGCCCATACTATATCTATTGCAGTCATTCCTTTTATGACAGTGTTAATGGTGTTAAGTGTAGTTATTAGAGGTCATTTGCCAGAGTGGAGTAAACCTCAGTCCACTGAGAAGGCAAAGAGTAATTTACAATAAGAGTTCAGTGTATCACCTTCATAAAGCGTTTGGTCTTCCAACACATTTTGCCAGTGCTTTGTTAGTTTTTGCATGATGCTAAGGCGAGGTAACACTCTGTTTCACTGTGAGAGAAGACTTTTTACTATTATACCTTTATTGCCTCAGGAAAATCTATTTCTCTTAATCTGTTCACACTCAGTGTGTTATATTTTTGTTGTTTTGGGGTTTGTTTGCTTAGTTTTGCTTTTGTAGGGAATGAGAGGTGAAGGTGTTGTTTTAAAGAGTAGCTGACAGCTGCTTTATTTTCCATGGTAGCAACTTATCTGTGCAATTCTTGACAGTTTTACTGATGTTCCTTGGTTCTTAACTGGGAGATGTGATTTGCTTTTCTTTCCAGGACTTCAGCTAGAGAATACTGTTCTTAATTAACATCCAGGGCAGTGGAGCACTCTGACTTCTTGGGTTGAAGCCTTGTCTCTTCTTGGCTACTACAAGAGCTGAAAGCTAGCATTAGCTCAGGAATCTGCCTGGTGCTGCTCTCATGCAGGCAAAATGCATGCACTTGGGGTTTGCCCATTTTGTTTTTTTCCTGTTGTTTTGATTTTTGTGATTGTGTTTTTTTTTTTCCTCCAACAGAGATGAGATGGTCTTAAAACTTTCAATGTCATTCTTTCTTATGGTATTGTTCTCCTTCTTTCAGATAGGATGAAGAAATTCAGACCTTTTTTTTCAGTATGATTTCAGAGTTCTTAAATCATTGTTCTTTGGTTTTCTTTGCAACTTTAGTAGTAATGGATGGTTCTGCCTGAGTATTTATTTCCCATATTTTTTGCACATACTTGCTCAGTATTGCCTATGTTCACTGGCTGTGCCTGTTACTGTTGTACGTGTCTTTGCACCCTTTAGGAAGTGTATTTAACAAGGCAAACAGCTTGTTCCTGAGCAAATGCATAACCTGATTTTACCTTCCTCTACAAATAGTCTCGACTAGCTGATAAGTAGTGCTGTTCTGGGGCAAGTAAATTGTGAGCAGTAATAAATCAGTCGTTTATGTGCCTGTGGGTCATAGTCCTCTGGCTAGGATCCGAGCTGCCTCTAATCACTTCTTAAAGCAGGACTCTTCTCACCATGCTGCAGTTACTCTTAGGACCACACTTGCCTAAGCTTTCAAGCAAGGTTTTTGCATGTTTGTTTTTACAGACATCCTGCTGCTGACTGGAAGAAATTTTTTTCCTTAATATTTGAGATATTAACCAGGACTTTTTGTCTTGAGGTTACAAAGTTCATTGTTGTACTTGATTGGGCTTCTTATGCCTTCTCCAAAGATGCTGTGAGAAGAGCACTTTCTTTTTTTAGAACAACCATTCAGTCAACTCCCAATTCTCCAGCTTTGGATTCTCAAAGCCATCGCTGATTATTTTGGTCTTCTTCCAACAGCCATTATTTTATGACCTGTATATTTTAGGTCTGCCCTTACACAGGAACCTAACACTTGTCCTGGAAATACCTTTCTTGGCTTTCCTGCAAGTGGCATTTGCTGAGCCTTTCCAGAGTTCTGTTCCACTTATCATCTGAGGCTTACATGGCTGTTACTGTTCCTTGGTTATCCCTCCCAGAGCAGGCAGCTCTTCATGCTTCCCTGTATGACTTACTCTGAAACTTGCAGTGATCCATGTGGTTGAGAATCAGGTTTTGTGAGAGCTGGGTTCCTAAATTCTTAGAGGCCCAAAATGCGTTTTTGCAGAGGAACAGCATTAAGTGTGTTTACAAAGAGTAAAATGGGTTGGGAATCACCCTGGTTTAACAAGCATTTGCTTACTCTTTGTTTCTCTTCTTAGAAGAAAAATAACTGCTTACATACACACTTGTTTTTACTTCAGTGTCTTGAGCTGGATTTACAGATAAGTATTTCAGTTCAACAATAAAGAAAAAAACACCATCTTGTTCATCTGCCCTCTTTAGGGCACATTTATGTCAATGGTACTATATTGAAAGGTCAGTTTCTGTTGTAGGATGGTCCTTTCTTTTTAACAGCAAAGTCCTATAACAGACACCTATCATGTGCTTCCTGTTAGCTGTAAGCTCCCAACAGGTTGCTACCAATGTACTCCTGTAATTCTTCTTGAAATAATTTGTAAATTTTTCTGTAGACTACTGAATTGAGTTGAACTTCACAGAAGAATATTATAGTGAGGGCAAAGTGATTATTGACAACACCAATGGAAGTATCTCACAAGTTTGTAGGGTATTGACCTTGCAGTTCAGTTTGGAAAAGATAACAGCTTGCCCTCTTGCCCTTTTTAACTTCTGGATGCACTGTTCCAATATATAGGAGTACAAGTAAAGAAATTTAATCTGAAGTTTTGAAGGGGAGGACTTGCAACTTTGGCTCTCAATTTATAATGAGTCATCAGTTTTTAGCACTCTCAGCAGTGCCCCTCGTCCTGGAGGGGCCTGCCTCACCTGATTACAATTCATTCAGTTTTGTTATTGCTGGAACACAGAATCAGATACCTTCTGATCCACTGCATTAATAAGTGAAAAAATTGCTTTTTAACTCATCACAAATGCCTTGATTGCCAAAGAATAGTTCTAATTCAGTATTCCCTTATAGAACTAACTAATTTAGATGTTTACTTAATTCAGTAGAGACATTCTTACTGAGAATCAAGCTATTAGTCTTTTTATGCATGATTTTTTTTCTCAGGTGACTAAGTTCACCACTGACAATAGATGCTAGTGTGCTAAATTTAGTGCAGTTGTCTTTTCCTGCAGAGAACTGATTCGTCTTTGCTTTCTGCATGACTTTGCTAGCAATATTTGTGTGCAGACCCTTCAGTTGTGATAACCTTCAGTCACCCTCTTAACTTCCACTGCTTGCTTAGGTGGGACAGCCTGCGTGGTGACTGGCCAGCCCTTCGACACAGCAAAGGTGAAGATGCAGACGTTCCCTGACATGTACAAAGGAATTGTTGACTGTTTTGTGAAAACCTACAAACAAGTGGGATTTCGAGGCTTCTACAAGGGGACCACACCTGCTCTGGTAGCCAACATTGCAGAGAACTCTGTTCTTTTCATGTGCTATGGGTTCTGCCAACAAATTGTACGAAAAATTGTTGGAGTAGACAGGAAAACAAAGCTCAGGTTAGTAACAGCAGCTCTGTTTTGTATTTAAAACAAATGGGGGGGGGGGAGAGGGGAATTACAGAACTGCTATTTGCAAACATTTTTTAGGTGCAGCTGGTATCCCAGGTATCTTTCTGCCAACAATACAGTGTAGTGTGTTTTGAAATGTAGATTTTCATGCTAGAATATGGTGTCTTACTATGTCAAGAGACATCTCATGGCTGAAGCTGACTGGTTTAGATATTCACAACTCAGCTGAAATGTTCAAGACCTGGAACACTTTACCAAAGAACTGAGCATTGCAACTTACAATTCCCAAGCTGTTCTGATTGTACAGGGGAGGTAATGGTTCCTCTTATAGGGAAACATACTGAGGGGAAAGAATGCTCTTTTATTTAATGGTTTTGTTGGTTTTATTTTTCTCTTCAAGTTTCAAAGGCTTCAACATAATATTGATTAGACCAGAGGATCCTTTAAGCACAATGTGTTGTCTACAGCACTGGCAATAAATGGTTGCCTAATGAATGAGAAAGAAGAGAGAAAATATTTAATGCTTCCTGAGTCCTGTCAGTTTGTGTACTTAGCTTAGAGGATTTCTTGATCCTGATGTGATTTTTTTTTATTTTTTTTTTTTAATCAGTGATTTTGGATCTCTTTCAAAGTACTTGTTCAGTCGCCCCTTGAGTTCTTATAAGGTCCTGCACCAGGTGACAATTATTAGTTGTGTAACTGGAAGAGATGGGAAGCAGCTGGTGCTCAGCCACTTTCTCCAGATCATTTGGATCTCATAGATATCTGTCTGGATTTTCTAGATTTCTATTTCTCTGAGCCTCTCCTCTCACCCAAGCTTCTTTGTAGGTAGAAGCCTTCCTGGTGAGTGAACAATCAAAGCTGTTCCTTTAGCTGTCCTAGCTGCCTCTCTCTGAAACTACTATAGTGCCAAAGCATCTGGGTTTTAAGCTCATGAGACCAGAGCTGTGCAGAAAATTCAGTGTGAACAAGCCATGGATTTATGCACTGGCATAATGATGACAATCTCCTTCTAGCTAGGATGGCTTTTATCCAGGTGTCCCAATTCCAGCAGTCTGCATGCCTCACTCTTAAGCATCTCTCAAGCTGTGTCTTTGGTTCAGCAGTGAGAATAAGTGCACCTTCTTCATCTCTGTGCTGCCCCACTGTGTATAAAAGACTTCTTACAGCATTCCTAGCTCCATTTATTCCAAGATGCAAGGCTGAGCCTCATTCAGCTTTTTATTAATAGCTTTGTTCTGCCATCTGTCAATTGGCATCTCCAGAAGTAGCTGGGGGAGGTCATGATTTTGTTTTAGATCTGACATGGATAGTTACCTGAGTGAAGCCTCTCCCAGCTGTCTAAAAATGGTGTTACATTTTGTGTTCTCTGCTGCCCGTGTTAAGTTGTGCTATATCATAATACTAAGGCCTGATAGGAGCAAATATGAGATGCTGAAACGTATCTAATGTGTTCCACCAATTCTCACTTTAGAAGAGCCAAGAAGCATTTATATTATCCCATTGGGATGGGGATGGGGGGTAGAAGCTGAGGTGGATGTCTTCCAGATGAGACAGATAAACAACTACAGCTCCTCCACTGCCTTTGCTGTTTAAAAAATGTTCTGCTGTCTTACCCTGAAACAGAAAACTTTTAAAAGCACAAAATGAAGTGAACCTGACCTTATATTTACCAAAGCAGTTGCTACCTTTGTTTGGTTTTGTTTTTGTTTAGCTTTTTGGTAGTATGTCCAAATGGCTTGGAAGTAAGCTTTCCTGCCTGTGTTCAGGGGTACCCTGGTCAGAACACTTACTTACAAGGACACTTGCAAAATCGCAGTTTCTCCAGTTGAAGAAATACATGCCACTGATGCACAAGTCAAAAAGAAAACAAATAAAATGCTGAATTCCAGTTCTCTTTAAGTATCCATTAAGTCCAACCAAACTGATCTCATCCCATGCTAAAGTCTAAACTGAGGCACCTATTGTTCTTGTTCACCTCAGTTTGACTTTCTTAGTACGTGACAAGTCATCTTAAGTAGATTACTTTCTTTGCAAAACAAGGAAAAAACCATTAGTAGAAGCAGCAGCAGTGTTAAAGAGTGGACAGATCTTGTTCCCATGCTGTGTATTCGAAACTTTCCAGAAAAAATACTGAATTATTCATTTTGAGTTGAGAGGGAACTTGAACAGGATTCAAGGCTTATCATTTGTGCCTTGAGGGTTCTATGTTGAAGACCAAAGCCTAGACAGCAAGCCTTACTAAGCTGTTGTACGTAGAATTAAATATCAGGACAGGCAGAAGTGGGAGAGATCTGAATTATGGCAAAGTCTTGTACCAGCTCTTCACATGTGTCAGAACTCTCTTTAAGTCTGATAACGTCTAGGGTTTTTTTTCCCACTGAAAGAGGGGAAACTACTTTAGCATGCAGTTAGGAGGCACCTCTTCCATTTTTCCATATCCTGATTCTTTGTTGTTGCCTTGTTTTAGCTCATTGCTGAATGGGTACAGGGCTCAGCCACACAGTTTGCTTTTACTTTGCCTTGTTCTGTCTTGTCCTGGAGTGGATTTCTTCTCAGGTCCTTATTATCAAACTGTGTGTGCTGCAGGGGGATTATGTGACCAGTGTTGTCATTCCGTATTTACTTCATGTTACTTAATTGCTGCTCTGTAAAATTGACTTCTTTCAGTCTGATTGTTCTTGTCATTGCCATATCTGAATACGTCAGAAGCTTTATCTCATGTTGTGATTTAGGTTTCACAATGCTTCTGTGGGCTGAGAAGTTGCAGCTTTAATCTCTGATGCTGTGGGTTTGTAGAATCAGTTACAGGGCAGATGTCTCCTTTGTGTGGAAAGAGGTTCTGTGCAGCAGTAAGGCCAGTCCCTGCTGTACTGCTCCCCAGGTTCTGAAAGAAGGGAGAAGCCCTGCTTGCTTTTCTGCACTGTTGTCCAGAAAATTCTTTAATATCCTTATCAGTGGGGTTGGATGGCACCAAGCTGTGGGGTGTGGTAGACAACAGCAGAGAGACAAGATGCCATCCAGAGGGATCTAGACAGGCTCCAGCAGTGAGCCCAGGAGAAGAACCTCATGAGGTTCAATGAATTCAAGTGTAGGATTTTGCACCTGGGTCAAGGCAACATCCATTAACAATACAAGCTTGGGGATGAGAGTATTGAGCACAGCCCTGCTGAAAAGGACCAGAGGGTACTGGTAGATGGGAAGTAGGACATGAGCCAGCAGTGCCATCACAGCCCAGAAAGCCAACTGTATCCTGGGCTGCAGCAAAAGCAGTGTGGCCAGCAGAGTGAGAGAGAAATCCTACCCCTATGCTCTGCTCTGTGAGACCTCACCTGGAGTGCTGCATCCAGATGTGGAGTCCTTAGTGCAGCAGAGACATGGACTTGTTGGAGTGTGTCCAGGGGAGGGCCACAAAAATGATCCAAGGGATGAAACACCTCTCCTACAAGGACAGCCTGAGAGAGCTGGGGCTGTTCAGACTGGAGAAGAGAAGGCTGTGAGGTGACCTGAGAGTTGCCTTTTAGTCACTATAGGAGAGCTATGGAAAAGAAGGGGACAGACTCTTTAGCAGGGTTTGTGGTGACAGAACAAGGGGAAATGGCTTCAAGCTCAAAGAGGGTAGATACAGGTTGGATATAAGGAAAAAGTCTTTTACAGTGAGGGTGTTGAGGCACTGGAACAGCCTCCCATCCCTGGAGACTTTCAGGTCTAGGCTGGATCAGGCCCTGGGCAACCTGATCTAGCTGTGGTGTCCCTGTTCACTACAGGGCAGTTGGACTAGGTGACCTTTAAAGATTCCTTTTAACTCTAAGGATTCTCTAATTCTATCCAGCATACCTCTGCAGGAGCCTGTTCAGATATATTGTAAAGCAGTGCAATCCTGGAGTGCCAGCCTCTGATTCCTGGCAGCTCACCAGTGTATTCTTTGCAATATGGTTAAGATCACCACCGAGTCCCAGATGTGTAATGCTGTGAGTTCAACGCTTGCAGTGCTGTCTTATTCAGTAGCATGGTTTATGTTTGTCTGCACTGTCTCCAATTCACGTGGTTGCATTTGTGGCAGCACATCTGTTGTGGTCCACTCTGCCTTAGTTTCAGACTTGTAGCATCTCCCACCAAAATCCTTTATTATTACTGGCAAGGTGAATTTGAGAACAGGGATACCTACTTAGTGCAGTTACCTACTTAGGGCAGTTATTGCTCATACTCTCTTTGCAGCTGTAATAAGTCGCCAAAAGCTATGCAGCAAACTCTCCAGCCCATTTTGCTAAATCAAAAAAGGGTGAAGGTTGCACCATGTCTTTTCAGGTGTCAAAAGGATGTATTTGAGGTGGATATGAAAATGGGATGAGTTTTGTTATCCGTCTCCATACTTCACACTACCATTTCTCCTCCACTGAGGCCCCTTCCCCAAGGCTGTCCTTCAGTCTGTCGATAACATTTAGGATGCACATTTGGATGCTGCCTGTCAGTACACGGCTGTGCTACATTGAAGGTGGCACTCAGAGCTTTGTGCCTTCCTCTCTTGCAGTGACCTACAGAACGCTGCTGCGGGCTCCTTCGCCTCTGCCTTTGCCACGCTTGTTCTGTGCCCCACAGAGCTGGTGAAGTGCCGGCTGCAGGCCATGCACGAAATGCAGTTGTCGGGAAAGATAATGCAGGGACAGAAGTAAGTATTGGTCACGTTCAGTGCCTCTGAGTCCCTTGTATGCGTGTTTATTGTTTTTAATTGTCATCTCAGCAGTGCCACGCTGGTAACGTGGTGTTAGCTAGAGAAGAGCTGTGATGGGTGGGTCATGGCCCATGCCTGGAGACCCCACAGGCACTGGTAAAGATGGTGCCAAGGACAGACTCTAGGCAGGACCCAGTTCTAAGTTTTATGTGGGTCCTGTTCTCTGCGCACTCGTCTAACTCTTAATCATTTCTTTTCCATGATCTTCTTATTGAGTCATTAAGCATCACTAACTGGTTCAATCTCTCCCTCAGTACAGTTTGGTCAGTAGTGAAGAGCGTTATCCAAAAGGATGGACCCCTCGGGTTTTACCGTGGCCTGTCGAGCACTTTGCTGAGAGAAGTCCCCGGCTATTTCTTCTTCTTTGGGGGGTATGAACTGAGCCGGACGTTCTTTGCCTCTGGGAGATCAAAAGATGAATTGGGTACGGTGCCCTTTTCCTGGTGGATTCCAGCATGCTGTCATGGGGCTCATAAGGGAGGGCGTGTATCTGCACAGCAGATATAAAACAAAGGGAACTGGATATACAGAATGCAGAGATCTGCACTTTGTGCATAAACTGTAATCAGTTACTGAAATCATCCTCTTCTAATGAAGCAGGATGCACTGTAAATGGAAAACATGCAGTAAGGTAACAGTAATATTGCAGAACTTTTAGACCACTGTGTAACACCTCTGAACTATTTATTTTCAGGGGCTGTTTGGAATAAGATTTGAAGTCTTCTGCAGCACTGCACTGTACAAATAAATGTATGCTGACCTGTAGAGGTCATTACAGTGACAGTAAGAGAACACATTAAAACTCTACATTAAGAAATGAGGAGATGCCAACAGAATAGAGATTGTCTCCTCCTCAAAGACTGAACAATAATACTTTGTCTTGATGGGACAAACTTGATGGTAGAACTTGATGGTTCTACTTCAGCTGTGTGTATTCTAAACGCTGTTGTTGCAAAATATTCATTAAAATGTGTGAAACACAAAGTGAGTTTGCATCATGAAAAATGACTGATCACATAATAACTTCACCGTGCCAAGTAAAACTCTGTAAGGTGATCAGCGTCACCATGTGGTGTTTCTCTTAACTGTTTCATAATTAACACTGGAAAGTGATTAAAGGTGTGAAAGGAGTGGAGTTAATTTGGTTAATAGTCAAAACAGAGCTTTGAGCTATGCTTTCTTAGCATGGCCAATAAACTAAAAGGCATTCCTTTGTAACCTTTGAGCTTCTGGCTAGACCTGCAACATAGCAGTGGCTTAAAATTAACTTAGAGCTTTCTGAGGGAGCAGAAACTGGTCTTCTTTTGTGAGATCCTCTCTGTTCTCTTTAACTTCTGTAGTTGAAATAATGCAATGTGTATGCTGCAAATGTTTTGTGGTATGCCTAAAAGCTCATTTCTTAACCCTAGGTCCCATTCCTTTGCTGCTCAGCGGAGGTTTTGGAGGCAGCTGTCTGTGGATTGCTGTGTATCCAGTGGACTGTGTCAAATCTAGAATTCAGGTTCTTTCAATGGCTGGAAAGCAGACGGGCTTCATGGGAACGTTTGTAACTGTTGTGAGAACTGAAGGTGAGTGTGCAGGAGATTGAGAGAATCTGTAGGGCTACGGATTCAAACCTATTCTCTTCAGCACCAAAAGCTGCTTAATAAACCGTGTCTGTTTATACTGTGTTAGAGACTTTCAGTTTCTAGCAGAACTATTGTTGCTTCTCCTAGTTTGAGAATCTTGGATTCTAGAAGTTGAGACCTACTTCATTCTGCTCTGCTTGTTGAGTCAGGAAACAATTCCCTTAAAGCTAACAAAAGCTGATTAAGCATTAAAAGCAGGCAAGTAAATTTCATTACTTATGCATAAAACCTGAAGGAAGCAGTAAAGTAGAAGAAGTGTGCTGAAATTACCTCTAGAAGTTGATTTATGGCTGACTGCAGGCTGTTTGATAAATCAGTCTGATCTAGACTGGCAACTTGGAGATTCTACTTAAGCATATCCTCTCTGGAAAAGGCCTGTAGCACACACTCCAGAAGCTGGTGTAAGAACATAAATGGAAGTAGATGTGATTCCTGACCTTGTTACTGGGGAAGATAGTCAGCAGAGCAGGGGTATTATGTGGCTCAAAGGTAGCCCTGCCCTTCTTTCTGCCAGCTGCGGTACTGCTGCTAGGAACTGCATCCTCTAGTGACAAAGATAAGCTTCTGAAGACTCCATTATGCCTGAGGTGTGTCTCATGTAAGCACCTAAAGTTAAAAAGCCAAGCTCGTGTTATTACTATAAGATGCTCCTGCATCAGTATCCAGCAGCTCTCTAGTTAACTGCTACAGCAAAGACTTCAGTTGTGTGGCTGCGTGTACATGTGCAGAACTGTAACTGAAGTGCCCTTGAAAGCTGAAAGCATAGGAGTTGATGCTAAAAGGCATTATAATGAATTGCTAACCAGCTGTAATTTCATTTCCAGGTGTACTTGCCTTGTATTCTGGACTAAAGCCAACTATGATCCGTGCATTCCTGGCCAATGGGGCACTGTTCCTTGCCTATGAGTACAGCCGGAAACTTATGATGAAACAGATAGATTCTTACTGATACCTTCTAGCAAACAGAACAACCCTTCAAATAAATGATCAAAGCCTGTAGGACTCAACATGATCTGAGAGCATTACCAGATCACTGACCTGATTTTAGGAACTCAATTCCAGTTTAGGATTTGTAATCTTTTAAATTCAAATGATTTTTATGGAGAGCTATACATGCTTCTTGAATTGAACTGGCAGGACTATCTCCTGCACTGGGTTTGCTACGCATCATAAATGTCTTTTCCTGCCTGTAATGGTGCTAAAGAGACACACTGGTTTTTAATGTTACAGGCAGAACAGGCTGTGATTTGTTTAAGAAAAGCACTGCTTTAGAGCCTGTGCTGTGACTGCTACATTTCCCATTTCTTGCTAGCAATATCTGATTCTAAGTAATTCCAGTTTTGTCTAATCTTCCTGAGTGTGGCTCTCATTTTCTAGCTCCCATCCACCCTATGACTTTCAGTGATCATTGCAGCTGGTTCATCTTGCATACTCTGACACACTGATGGCCTTACTGAAGCTTTCACCCCCTACTTTTACTGTCCTATGACTTAGAACTGAGATAGGGTTGCATTTGAGATAAAATATGAAGTTTCTGGATGTAAGGAGACAAGGCAGCATTTATGACAGTTGTTTGCTGCAGGCAGTGCTGAAGTATTATAAATATCACTGAATTAAACTAACATAGGAGGTGCTTGTTCATAGCATAGAGCTGTAACATGCAAGCTCACAGCTTGGTCTGTGTGCTTGAAGGACAGGAAGCTAAAGAGGAACAAAAAGCCAGAGCCAAGTTCTTGAAGACAGCTGACACCATGGGCTTTAGTTTATTTCAACTGGAGTCCTGCCACATGTGCCACTTGCTGCAGCTCTTCAGCTGAGTGGAAAGCACTTGTCTTAGGCCTGAAGGGCACATCTTTCTTGTGGTGTTTGCTTAAATATGCAACTTAAGGCCAGGTAGAGTTACCCAAAATGAGATTGTAGCACCTGCTTTTCTAGTTGCTTTCTTCCTTTTCTTTAAAAAGCAGCCTACTGCCAAGCCTGGACAAAGACAAAGCAAATCTCAATACAGTGCAGTTCATAAATCAAACCTGGAGTTGTTGGGAGAGATATTACCTATGTGATGGTGTGACATACTCACCCTTTGGACACAGCCACTCTCATGGCTAGCAGCACTTTGACACATCACATAGAAATTAGCAACTTTTATTACAGCAACATGCCAGTAAGTGACAGTTTCATGCTACAGCCTGTTTCATAGCTCCAGAAAGAGGAAAAAGCTGTAGACAAACATCTCCCTGCCTCTTGTGATAGAGCCAGAGGACACTCAAATGAGCTACAAATCTCTGATGGAAGGTGGTTACTTCAGCCTTCAGGAGCAGCGCACACCACTCCCACACAAGGGGCAGTTACAAACAGTGCATGGCTGAAAAGGCTGTAGTGCCTATTGCACCACTTTACCTCAACTCATTGGTACATGTGGCAGTATCACTACACAAAGTCAGTTCTTTAGGAAGGAGCTTATGGCAAAGGCTTGAATAATTCAGGTATAAGGGTAGGATTTTAAGGGTCCTAAGCTTTCTGAAGTTGTTTATCCAAGAGAAATAATATCAAATGTCATGATTATTTCAACTGCATACAAAGATAACAGAATCCATACCAGGGGAATACTGAAATCTCTTTCTTAGATTTGTCTTCGGTTTCATTTTATAAAACTCAATTGCAGAATTTAAAAAAAATAAAATAAAAAGGCTTCAAGAGAAGCACAAGTTCCAGAACCACTGACAGGAGGAGGTTGGTGACAGGAACAGATGTGCATTCTGAGAGTTTACCTTTCAGAGTTGAACCAAGCAGGGACTTCTACAGCTGCAGTTAAGCTGCACACATGTATTGATTGTTTAGCTGAGAACTTCATAATGTTGTTACAGGAATTCATAGCAATAAAATTTGATTCAACTGACTAGCAGGCTTTGTCCTTCAGTAACACCCAACTTGTCAAACAGGCTGGAGGCTGAATTTAGTGTCACCACCCCTCTGGAATTAAAGAGAGCATTTCAGAAACCATCCCCAAATTTATAAAGCCCTCAGATTTGAGCTAAGAGAAGCTGCTGAGAAACAGTTGTATGTTTTACATAAACCACTGTGTAGAATAACCATGGCTTAGCCCTCAGCCTGCTGCTTTGTCAGTACCAAAGTCAGTTCTAATATTAGGGATTACATCAAGTTCCCAATTGTTAACACGGTACATGGTATTAGTTATTTTCCTACCAGTAGTCCAGTACAGGGAAACTGGGGTCACATAAGACCCCCCAAAAGCAAAGGATGAGTGTCTACTATGCTGAAGCCAGAGGTTACTGCTCTAGGAAGTTCAGAAACTATTGCTCTTGTAGTTATTTTGTTACTTGTTCCTGCTTATCATATGGAAGTGCATACTTTAGCTGGACAAAAACCCCTGACTTCTTGCTGTGAGAGCCTTCACGAGCAGGACACAGAACCTTGAGTGCCCTGCAGCTGATTAGAAAGGGCAGTTTAGGTGAATGCTGTCTCACTGCCAGAGCTGAGCTAAAAGGAACTCAGTCATGAGACACTTCCAGCTGCAATAAAACGGCATTGGATTCCAACTCTTAGTGATCTCGGTCTGTGCTGGAAGGCCCTGTCTGCTGCCTTACTCAGTCGCCCTCTAGCGAGGGAACTTTGGTCTCACTCGTTTATAAAGGGGAAAATTTCGTTGCCATCAGACTAGTAGCAGAGCATTAACTCCACCGGCATCTCTTCACCTTCAGAAGAAGCTCCAATAACATCTCACGTAATTACTACATATGGAAGTGTGTAGTAACAAAGTGACCCAGGCCCACAGCATCCTGTTTATGGAAGTGCTAAGCATTTGTAGAATGACCTTCAAAATAAGTTCAGATCTCTATACTTGAAGCATAGCATTCAGAGAAGCTGCTTCCAACTAAAATGGGAGCTTCAACACCACACTTACTAAATACCAGGCAATCATTCAGCAACAGCCAAACTCAGGTCTGTATACGTACCTCAGAATATGCCACAACCCTCAGTTGAGCATTTGGAAGCTCTGGGATCTCTGCTTACTTCATTAGTTGGGTATTAGCTAAGGTAGCACCCACCTGCCAGTGGCACGTTACTATTCCCCCTCCCCTCCATATTACCTTAGTTCTGGTAACCTGATGCTGGGGGAAGTGTCTCAGTCTACTCCAACAGTACCCTGCAGACTGCTGTTCTCCACCCACCAACAAGTGAACGCTGTTGTTTAGTGCTCACAGCTTAGAGTAGGGATTACCTGCATGTAAACATATCTAGGCTCCAAGAGATCTATCAGTACATTAACATAAATCACAGTTACATGACATTAAGTACTTCAGAGATGTATTGCTCTGCACAACAGAACTTCAGGTCAGTTTATTTGAGAAGCTGTATCTACATAGAAATACATTAAGTGCATCAAAGTGAGACCGCTTCACTACACTGAAGCAGCAAGGTATCATCAAGACAGGAGATGAGTTTAAGTATTTTCCTTCTTTCAGCTTTCCCTTACAGTTCAGTAAAGTTCATCTCTACAGCAAATGTCTCACTGTAGACTTTCCATGTTTTTGACTTGTGAGGGTTATCCAGCTCATTCCTGGGAAGGTACAGTCTGAAAGATAAAACCCAGTAATATTTCTTAGGGCCTAGGAATGTTTTTCCATTAAGATTGTAGAGAAGACTTGAAGTTTGGCTCCAGAGTATTAACTATAGGCCTAGGTCTAAAATTCAGACAGACATTAGGTAAGCCTGCATGGGGATTTGGACATGAAGTAGCTCACAAATACACAGCCAACCTGATGATTCATGGTCTACTCTAGCCAGGACACAACCACTACAATAAAGTTAGTGTTATGCCCAGCTCAAGGCCTTTCAAGGGAATAGAAACCTGTGGCCTTATGGCATGCACTTGACTCAGTATTCAGTCAAGCTCAGCCACCATGTTCTCCCCACCCCTTCTCCTTTAATGCTTACTAAATTCATTTCTAATCACCTGATAGCACCTGCACATCACCTTTTGATATAACACTTGCAGAGCTACATGACCACAGGCACACATTCCTCTTGCTACTAGCTTCATGTAAATGGCTATCTCAGTTTAGGTGCAAGATAGTTGCATTGCTGCCTAGCATATTAAGTTTAGAGTTACAACTCATGGCTACCTCTCCTTACTGAATTTATTCCCCCAGTCTGAGAACTGTTTGTTCTTTTATAGTTGTGGAAAGAATAGAAATTATACCTGATACTTTAAGTTCACTGTTCTGTTGTCTAAACCTACCTATTTTAGTAGACAGGCCAGAAGGAGCTGAAGTCTCTACTTCTCTATCACTCCCCTGGCAAGATAGACAAGCCCAGCCTTTGCTGGCAGGATCTCCCCCAGGAATTCTGGTCTCAACAACAAGCCCACAAGAGTTTTTAAACTTTTAACAAAAGCATGAGAACTAACAAGTTAAGAGCTTTTCTGGGATCCAAAACATTAATAACTAACTTTTAACATTTGCCTTGCTTAGCTGCTAAATTCAGGTTCCAGCCTCAGTCAGTTGTGCTATTGACATTTGAATAGTAAACTAATCTTGAACAAAACAATATTATTAACAATAGAGCGCTGGGAAACAAACCAATGGATTAAGATAATTGACAGGACAAGGGGAATGGTTTTAAACTAAGGAGAGGGGAGATTCAGATTAGATATTAAGAGGAAAATCTTTACTCAGAGGTGGTAAAGCACTAGCACAGGCTACTCAGAGAAGCTGTGAGGCTGTGAGCACCCCATCCCTGGAGGGGCTTAAGACTGGGTTCGATGGGGTCCTGGGCTGCTGGGTGGCAACCCTGTCCACAGCAGGAGGTTAGAATGGCTTGGGTTGGAAGGGACCTTAAACCCCATTTAGTTCTATGATCCTGTGTTTAAACCACTTTGCACAGTACGAGTCTGTGCCAACTACCTGCTCACAAGTTAGAACTGAAAATCAGAAAGCCATACAGAAGCAAAGACTGGCTTGGTTAGCACTCTGTTTCAGCTCTCAGCACTGTGTTCAGTAACTGTCAGCTCTGTTCATACACCAGAAATCAAGTTCTGAAAGCAGTCACTGTGATCACTTGCCTGTTATTTTCAATAAAGGAAGTGTTGAACCAGAAGAAAAATGGGCAGTTATCATAGCCTTTTGGAAGATCCTGAAAGTAAAAATTCATTTAAGGAATGATTTTTGCAGACACAAGTACTCATTTGTCCTCAGTAGTTTGACTTACAAAGCCAGGTGCTAGAATCAGTACATTTAACAAGACATATCACACTCAGATCACATTTTTCATTCATTTTGTTCCAGGCCACCCAAACTTAACATAAGACCCATATCAGAAGCAGCAGGTACTCAGCTAAGATGCTTCAGTTGTTTTGTATGAACAGCCACCCTATCTGCACAAGCTGCTGCAGTAACACTTGCTATGTTCTCACTGCACTGTAGCAGCTCTTGTGTGGAATGGACCCTTAGGGCCAAGTCACCAGGGGTAAAGAAAAATAGAAAACAAAACCAGGCTTTGCCCCACAGAACTAAGCCAGTCAAGACCCAGCTGGCATTCGCATTGCTGCCCCTCCTCAAATTGAGGTGAGGATCTTA